CGCTGGGTCTGCGGCTCGATGGCATGTTGTCATCTCAGAGATAATCATGAAACGTTTTGAGCTTGATATTGACATGCTGATTTCAGATGGTCGCTGGAAGCCCTACACGCGACACCTACAACGCCTCAAACTTCGCTGACCAGGCAATCAGCTTCGTCTGCCTCGACTACAGCGGAACTGTCTCCAACAACCCCGCTTACGCTCAGCGCCAGGACATCAACTTCCCCGACATCAACATGTGTCAGGACGGCATCCGCCTCCAGGTCTTCTTCCCCCAGTGCTGGGATGGCGTCAACCTCGACAGCTCCGACCACAAGTCACACATGGCCTATCCCGTCGACACCTACGACGGTGGCCACTGTCCCGAGTCGCACCCAGTCCACACCGTCGCGATATTCTACGAGCAGATTGTGCCGGTCAGCAACTTCAACTACTGGGGCCAGGGAGCCTACGCCCTGTCCACCGGCGACCCGACTGGTCTGACGTACCACGCGGACTTCCTGATGGGATGGAATCAGTCTGTGCTGCAGGACTCGGTCGACAACTGCCACAACATGAACGGTGACATCACTCTGTGCCAGGTTCTTGTACCGTACATCAATGAGGATGCCGCGTCAGCATGCACTCTGGATGCTCAAGTCGTTGACGAGGATGTCGGACTCGGCGACCAGATCTCGGCGCTTCCTGGATGCAACCCCGTGCGGACGGACTTCTCTACGGAGGCGAGCTGCCCTAATTCGGTCACGCCCGGGTTCTTCAACCCTGTGGCGACACTCACTCCGGGATGGACGGACGTTGGCTGCATCGCTGAGGGCACGAATGGGCGTGCACTGACGGGCGCGTCGACGACGTCGCCGAACATGACTGTGAACTTCTGTGCGGGCTTCTGTGGAAGCAAGGGATATACATATGCGGGCGTCGAGTTTGGTGACGAGTGCTACTGCGGGAGCTCGTTTTCGAATGGAGCGAATGGGAGCGTGACGAACTGGTACGATTGCAGCACTCCCTGTGCGGGTAACCCAGAGTATGAGAAGTGCGGCGGCCCGCAGAGGCTCGAGCTCCTGAAGGCTGGTGGTGCTCCCGTCTCCATCTCCTCTTCGGCCGCTCCCAACTCGACACCCGTCCCCGTTCTCTCATCCTCGGCCGTCCCTCTCCCGGCCTCTTCTTCGGCCGTCTCTCTCCCAGCCTCCTCCTCTGCCATCCCTACTTCCCAAATTTTGGCTGCCCCCACGCCGTCTTCGGTCACGGCCTCCGTCTCCGCTGTGCCCGCTTCGGCTTCCTCCGCTGCACCGGCTTCTGGTTCATCCTCTGGCTCATGGGCCTCCGCAGGCTGTGTCCAGGACGGCCCCTCCCGTGCCCTAACTGGCTACAGCTTCACCTCATCGTCCATGACAACCGCGACGTGCCAGTCGACCTGCGCGCAAAAGGGCTTCACGATGGCCGGTATTGAATACGGCGATGAATGCTACTGTGAGTCGTTATCTTTGTGTGATGTTTACAGCTCATGTTGATATGACATTCTAGGCGGTAACTCGTTTGAGAACGGTCTTGGCCAGCAGGTCACCACCGGCCCCGCGTGCTACATGACCTGCAATGGTGCGCCCAACGAGAACTGTGGTGGCAGCTGGACGCTGAGCCTCTACACACTCAACGGCGCTGCGCCTGCTTCCTCTGCGTCTACCTCGTCCGCCCCTGCTCCTGCCGCCTCGGTCCCCGCCAACAACAGCGCCTCTGGCTCCTCATCTGCGTCTGGCACCTGGACTTCCGCCGGATGTGTCCAGGACGGCTCCGCTCGTGCCCTCACAGGCTACTCGTTCACCTCGTCGTCTTTGACGACCGCAATGTGCCAGACGACTTGTGCGCAGAAGGGTTTCACTATGGCCGGTATTGAGTATGGCGACGAGTGCTACTGTGAGTCACCCTCCTCGTGTGTCTAGAGCCTGCACTCAAACGGCCTTCCAGGTGGTGACTCGTTCCAGAATGGTCTTGGCCAGCAGGTCACCACTGGCCCCGCATGCTACATGACATGCAGCGGCGCGCCCAAGGAGAAGTGCGGTGGCAGCTGGACCCTGAGCCTCTACACACTCAACGGCAGCAGCGCAGCAAAGCGCTCCACGAAGCGCTCTAAGCACTTTGGCCGCCACCACCAGCTCCGTTCGCATTTCTGAGTTTGCCCCAGCCCGGGGACCGCGTTCCCGGCTGCCGCGCTGAGGCCTGGTCCTCTGCGCCCCTTTGATTTCCATTCTCGCTATCGCTACTCTGCTCTTCGTCGCTCTCAGTCCTCGCCTTGCATCACGATTCTCGTCTTTCTCACACCATCGTTGTCTCCCTGCTCTCGCATTCAAGTACCCCATCCGGCTCCGGCACGGCCCGCATGAGTCGCCACCTCCCATTCTCTCGTCTCTCTCGTCTTCAAGTCTCGCAGACGCACGTATCAGGTTGGGAGAGAGCGGACACACTTTTCGGCAACGCACGCGGCGCGCTCAGCTTGCACTCAACGACACACTTTTACTGGATAAAATTGCCTACGCGAGTGCTACGCCCCGCGCCACCACGCACGCACCGTCCGCGCTCTTTGACTTGCGAGCCCAACCATCATGCGTCTTTTCTCATCGGTTTTACCCTGACGCGCTAGGCTTTCGCGTCCGGTTTTCGAGTTGTCGTCGTAGCTTGTAGCTACGCCTGCCAGAGTTTCTGTTTGCTTCCGCGAATAAAGATTGATTTTGCAAGTGAATAGATATTCGCGCTCTGCGCGCCAAAAGCCACATGCTGTCCGGTGTGATACAGGGAGAGTGAGTGCTATCGATACAATATGACTACGGGATTGGGCTGATCTATCGCAAGTTATCTATATCGCCCATACAGGCAGCGGCCTCGCTGCTAGTACTGATACAGATTCCATGCAGGTGCCCTTCACGCGGCGGATGCGCCTTCGTACACCGCGCCGGTGCTCGAGAATCCGATCTCGAGTGTGCTGTCGTCCGAGCTGGACTCGACCTCGTCGAGCTCATACCACTCGCGGTGCCCGAATCCGTCCGAGGAGTCGTTGCTAAGGTCCAAGCACTCGCCGATATTTCCGACAAGCGCGGTCGTCGCTGGGTTGAAAGCCACACTCGAGAACTGCGACCACTGTTGCGCCTCGGTATCCTCATTGATGCGGCTGCCGAGCTTGCGCAGGTTCATCATGAAGCGGTTCGTGAGGATGAGGGGCTGTCAAAGGTTTGCTGTTAACGAGGCTCATGGTCTTGTGAAGGACGTGGACAGACCATCACGGAGAGCAAGGCGCTCAGCTGTTCGCCCTCTGACTGGAAGATGGGAGTTAGTCTTATTGTCCTGACTGGCAGAAAGGCGGCCAGTTCACGTACGGCGAAGATAGCCATCTGAGTGGCGTTAAGGATGAGAAGTACGCTGGGCAGATTGCATTTTTAGCCAGCTATCTGCAGTTGACTGGTTATCCGACAAGACTCACACGAAGTATGCAGTTCCTAGGGTGCGACTCTAGTCAGCACCCAAGTGAAACAAGAGCGCAATCAGCGACCTACCATCACGAAGAAGACACATCGACAACGAGATGGCAAGGTTGCTTCGCCGGGCAATTCTAAATTGTTGCGACGTTTTTATCCACGTTGCGGCGAGCACAACGACATCTTGAAGTATGAGCATGCTCCGCGTCAGATAAGCGCCTGAAGTGTCATGGTCAATGGTTGGCCTACAGGAAGCAGACCGTAACATCTTACATCTAGTTCATTACGTTAGCACACAGAGCACTATATTTATATAATTCAAATTTGACTTACATGGCATATTTGCGTTTGAAGTCAGATATGCTGCGAGTGAGCGTGACGAAACATCCGGACACATCGGGCGAATATGCAGGTAGGGTAATTGACGCAGACATCTTTGTGTCATCCCGTTAGCGCAAAGTCTCGCCAAGTAGTGAATACGCCCTACTGAGTTGGTGATAACCGGTGTGACACCTAATATAAAGACAATGACAAACAGCGAGCGGCTGTAACCCCAGACCGCAGATATTCTGAGTGCGATGAAAACTTTCGTAGCGTCAAAGTAAGATCTCGGATCAAAGGAAACTGAGAAAAGATTTGCTCACGGTCCACTTCGGCCCAACCAAGTATCGAAGCATAAGTTTCGATCCTTAGCCTTATGGAGCACCTATATTAAAATATAAGTCCATTTCCCAGGCATTGCAATAAGTATACAACTTACGCCTGCACAATCAGCAATTTCAGCATCGCCAATTCAACTCTCTAGGCCGATTGCTGTTAACTCACCAGGTCTGAATACTGTATAGGCTGCAAGAAGTAGCACACACCCAGAATAACCATGGTCCACCGGATCATTAACAGAAGGAAAGAGGTTACGTTCTTTCTTCTTTTCCATATGGTCTCAATCTCCTGCGGAATTGTGACAGCGTATTCGTATGCGACCAATACTGGAGAGCGAGTCAGGAGGAGAATATGAAATAATCGATTGGGCCTAATGGAGCGAACCTGAGACAGAAAGGTTGACTACGGCGCTGGCGAAAGTAGATAGCATTATTGCGAGCCGCAGGGGCACGACGTTGACACATACGCGTTGAACATGGCTCGATGGAACGTAACATCGAAGTCCGACATCGCTACGGCGTTTGTGCGAAGGCCAACAGTTCGTGAGGGAGTGGAAGCAAGCCCATTCTCTTGAATGCCTTCGTATATACCGTAAGATAGGCTCTTGAGGGGCCTAACATGATATACTGAAAGTACAAGGTGGCGGTAACCGACTCGCGGCACTATCAAAACCAGCTAAGGTGACGGCGCCGGCGTCACCCAAGACAAAGCCTGCCTATTTCGCGAAGCAAATAGCTAGGCACCAATCTACGAGCTGGGAAGAGAGGAAATAGAAACCGCTTCTTTGGCCCGCGTATGCTTTGTCAAGGCGAGGACTAGGAGTGATGGAGTGGCTGGTAGACATGCCGCTCCGTGATCCCACCGCCGTTACAGATTCGCGTGCAAATTGCTTCGAAGAGTCAGCTAATCACGTCTAGTGAATCAAGCAGGCTTAGACGTATCGAGGACTAAATATTGCGTTGAACGCTCTCTGAGCGCTAGCCATAGAGTGCAGCTGTCGTGGAGGGGGAGTGCAAGAAGTTGTCGGAGGTGACAGAGGTCAGACAGTGTCAGACAGCCTAATGCGGAAATTCCCGGGACCTCGAAAACCTTAAACCGCATCGCATCGCACAGGGGCCCATTCGGAAGGTTAAGAGAATAAAATTATAAACGGTGAAGGTCCAATTTATAGCCTCATATAATGCTTTAAAAAAATCATTCATTGCCCACAGGCTCGAGACAGTGGTTCAATGGGCAGTTCAGAAGGCTTGACAAATCAGCGACTGCCAGACCACGACGCACTGTAGCTCAGGTTCATACTATACTTTTTCAACCTGACCGGCGGCCACGCATCGTATCGGTATGCCGCTAACCTCTCCAATATTTTTTTCAATTAATGGAGGTTTTGGGGAGTTGCCAGAAAAATCCATTTGGGCGAAGTTCCCGTGAGTCGGTCAGGTCGAGAAAGTATAGTATCTCTCTTCGTTACTAGACGACATCATCACTTTCCCTTCAGCCCAGCACACGCCGCGACCCTCGTCAATTATGTGAGCTGCTTTGAAGAGTCATGTCTGCGGGAATGCTTGGCAAGGTCCGTGAATAGAAAGCTGAGTATCGCACTGGGTACTTTCTAAGTAGTCGTTGAAGAGCCTGGTCACTGAAAGCTGCGGTGGCAGAGGTCGCGAGACCTGAAGCGGGAAAATTTTGGGACCTTGAAAATCGCTGACCGCTAATGGGCCAAGGAAGGCACGACAGAAAAGTATCTCTCGGAAAACTCAGCAGATCATTGGCACGTCGATACAGCGTATAAATGTTCCACAGATATCTTTATAGAATACCCTGTAGTCCGAGCAAGCGTCCTGCGCTCATAAGCCCTCCTCAGCGGGCCCAGCTTGAAGACGATCGTCAAATGTGCTGTTCAGAAGGCTCAGCGATTGCTCAACTTCCCTGATAGAACGGTGAAAATAGATCCGACTCTGCGCCGCGCTCGGGACGTTAAAGCTGTCAGAGTCCTGCAAAAGCGTACGGAGCTCCATGATCAGGCGGCTAGAGAGGATGAGAGGCTGGAACGGAAAATGTCAAAATGAGTACAAGGGAAGCCTCAGGGGTACATGTGCTTCGACGTACAATCGCAACAAGGAGGGGGAAAGAACTTCCTCCATGATCCCATTGAACTGTTGTAAATGGGTCAGAGTTTCTCTAAGCTAGAACTACCAAGCACAGACCCCGACAATGCCCATCTAAATAACAATAAGAGATATTAATATGCTGGTTGCATGATGCCAGTAGTGCGGCGCAGGAACACACATGCATACGCACAGAAAGTGCACCGTTCCTATACAAGCGCTTTAAATTTGGAGGCGCGACGGCATGCAGCACAATAGACGCACCGCCACGCAGTATAGATGTCGTAATCGAAAATGAAAATCCTAGGCCTCTGGTAATCCACCATTGATGCAGCGTCTTCGCAAGTGTTAGGCTCAAAATAAGAATGTCTTGCAGCAGCAGCACGGCGCAAGTGGCACGAGCGGCTTGAATGCCATGCGAGTCAAATTGAATCCTGACACAAATACTGCGGCGAGGGACGTGTTCACTTACAGCTGGTGGCTTGGCATTGGTGAATGGTCGTAGTACGATGAGAGAGGACTCACATCATGTAGCTGCGAAGACTTGTCGACGGTGGACGACCATAACATCGGAATTGGAGCGAGTAGGCGTTACGATAATCTGCTGTTTCGAGCTATCATACGGATCCGTCAGTGCTGTGATCACATGCATTACTGAGGACACGTACGATATCTGTCAGGACGGGGGTTAGGCTCAAGAAGAAACTTGCAGCGAACAGGATCTTATTGCCACCCCATATGGCAGAGGTCTTGAGCGACGTGTACACTGTCCAGATATACACAGGCACCTCCGACCAGCAAGCATCTGCAAACGTACAACCAAGCATAATGTAGCCAATCAATTCCACTACATCACATATCCACCACGCCGCGGCGCAACTGGCGCATGATCTGTCAGTTTTTGCTATCGAAAATGTGAGGAACTCGTCTGACCTCTGAAACAAGTTAGACTAAACGCTTTAAAGAATTGCTGGTCGTAATTTACCTCAGGTGACAGCCGAAAGGCAAGAAGTAGATAACCTGCAGCTCCAAAAAGCAGAGTCCAATGAATCCCGAGCAAGACTATGGACATCGCGGTTGCCTTTCTCTTCCACACCGTTTCCACTTCCAAGGGAAAGGCGATGATGTATTCATATATGGATAGCGCTAGGGAAAGAATTCAAATCGAGTCTAGTCCCGCAACGAGTGGATACATGAAATAAACTCACTTGAAACGGCGAAGAACATTTTCGTGCTAAGGAAACGATAGTCCATATCAGCACGGGAATATTACAACGATCAAGGAAAAGTCTATTTGAGTTCCTCGGACTGCAGTGCCGCAGACCAGTCAAAAGGCGTCATATTGAAGGTATGAACTGGTCATGCAGGTGCCAGATACGAATGTCGAGTGTCGTTCAGCGGATTCTGCAGATACCTTATATAGTACGTACGACATGGCCACATCCAGGCTCCCAGAGTCGCTGAGGTTCCGGCAATATCACGCTCTGTCGTTGTCAAGCCTCAATGTGCAGTGCAGTGCCTTTATAGAAGAGGATGGTCGGATATCGTTCAAATTCCGAAGACGCATGCAACCCTGGGCGGCGTACCAAAGCTCTGTGTTGATCCAACCTTTTGGCTTTCTTCCAGAATAGGAAAGAAGGGGGAACGCAAATAATACCAAACAATCAAGTGCAATTCGCGCACAACGACGCTGTCTTCCAGCGACTTTCGTCTTAACACTGACACTCCCTTATACGCCTGCCTATAGCTATGGCTGGTAAGGAAATACATATGAAACTGCTATGGCTGGCTCATTGACATCGTTGTGTAGATCAGATTGAGCTCAGCACTCCCCCGTTTGACGGCATCTCCCAAGTCCGTTTCTCGCCTACAAGCCCGACAAATCTGCTAGTCGCATCCTGGGATACTGTAAGTCCTTTTTATTATGCGGACGGGCGCGGATCATGGCGTCAGGTCGCAACCTCACCCAGTCACTATCCTCCGTGTGGTCGTTCAGCTGTGCTCTTGTTCCCTGGTGCTGTGCTTTTTCTAACGTCTGGTGCCAGTGTCTTCCACCTAGATCGGTCGTGAGGGTCTTCTGGCTATCTTAGCGCAGCCTTGATCGACCGCTTCAGTGTCAATGTGCGTACCAGACCACGTTTTGACCAGCACGCCTGTCCGCAGTCTGCGTTCCACAATAATGTGCTGATTTCATTTGCCAGACAGTGCGACTTTACGATGTCGAAACGAATGAACAGAAAACTAAATTCGACCATCGAGCGGCTATTCTTGCCTGTGCTTTCGCCGACGGCGAACGTGCGTTTAGCGGGGGATTGGACACTTCTGTCCGGGAGTGCGTACACACCTGCCCTTAGGTTTTGTGCATGGCATTAAGCACTCTGTAGGCTGGAATTTAACACGGAAAAGATCAACAACCTGGGTCAACATTCGGACACCATCTCAAGCATGAACTGGTCTAAAGATTTCAGTACGTTTCTACGCATTCAGTTCCCATGCGCTCTCACGTTGCTCCTAGGCTCGCTTATTACGGGCTCATGGGACCGAACTGTACGCTTCTGGGATCCAAGGGCCGCGAATGCACAGCAATCGTCCGCTTCCCTGCCAGAGCGGATCTACCACATGGACCTTGTCAATCACACTCTCGTCATTGCGATGGCCAGCCGCCTATTCCACATCTACGATATCAGGAATATGAACACCCCGACGCAGAGCCGCGAGAGCAGCTTGAAATTCTTGACACGAGCGTTGGCATGTATGACGGACGGTCAGGGTACGTGCGCGCTTTGGCCGTTTTCGAGGCACGACGCTAATGTGGAGCGTAGGCTATGCCACCGCTTCCGTGGAAGGGCGGATTGCAGTTGAATACTTTGATCCCAGTCCCGAAGCGCAGGAGAAGAAGTACGCCTTCAAGTGTCACCGCCAGACTATTGACGACGTCGATCACGTATGGCCCGTCAACTCCCTTGCATTCCATCCGGTGTAAGTGCTCTAGTTTATTGGCGCATACTTTCAGGGCCAACGCCTCTACAGATACAACACTTTTGCTTCCGCCGGTTCCGACGGCACGGTGTCTATCTGGGACCACAAGCTGAAGAAGCGTCTGCGTCAGTACCCGAAGTATCACTCCGCAGTGCCTTCAATCGCATTCAACTGCGATGGTACAAAGCTTGCAGTCGGTGTCAGCTACGCCTGGGATGAGGGCGAAGAGGGAGCCAAGGCGGCAGAGAGGCCAAGTGTGTACATCCGGAACGCAGGGGACGAGGTTAAGGTGCGCACATGCAAAGTCGCCGTTCCACGCTTGTTGACTGATTGTGCTCTAGCCCAAGGGCTGGACGGGTAACTAGTCGTATCACTGTATCATGCTTGTGTTCATCGCGATGCGTATGAGGATGTCTTTCCTCAGCTCTTCTCCTGGCCATACGGTTGTGGTCTCCTTCGTTCTCCGATGAGCTGGGCTGCGTGGCGCATGAATCTTCGTGGTGCAGCGCGTCATCCCCGTTATCCGAGGAGTTGTTCATCCGCTAATTTTACTAGCCCTAGACCACGAGACGATCCCGGGAAGTTGTTCATCTACTGACTTTCAGACCGCGAGATGATTGGCCGGAAGGCCGTAGGTCACGGTAGGTGCCACCATAAAGAAGGTCGGCTTTGCAAATCCCGCAATGTCGCCATTGCAGGTGCCTGAAAAAGGTTTGCAATCGGATCTGGGCTGCTCCCTGTAGTCCTTCTGTGAGCACCTTTCAAATTCGTATCTCCGGTACCGAGGCCGCTTTTGCGCTTTAGACGCTCAAACTTGCAGGTTGTGCAATTGTGGCATCTCATTGCGAGTGCCCGAACCGTGTGACGGAAAGTTCTGCCTCTGTGCTCTGTCAAATACGCGGTCGAAAGAAGCGTAAAATTCTGCAGAACGTTCTACAGCACGAAGCGGTCGATTATATGTGCGCGAGTTCTAGGTCGTGGACACCTCTTGGTCCGTCTCTCTTCTTTTCCCTTCCCCTCCCATCGCAGTCCGTGTTGGTGTCGATACAAAATGTCATTCGTGGCAAAAGTCTTTGGAAAGTATGGGAGCAACGAAAACCCAACGTCTGTGCCTCCAACCTCGCCTTCTCTCGTATACGATGCCCAACCCGAGAAGAAAACGGAACTTTCCCGTCCTACATCTCCTGTTGGCTCAGGCAAGTTCGAGGGATTCGAAGGAGGCGCTGCTGAGAAAAATAGCATCGAAGTTGGCGACTTGACCTTGGATGAGGGTACCGCGCGCCGAAGCCGTTCATCACGCTTTTGTTTTTTTTCTCTGACGCGTTTATTCATTAGACGCCGCCGGAGGCATGGGCCGTCACCTCGGTGTCTTCAGTTGCACCCTCCTAATGTGCGTTCTCCACCTTTTAGCGCAGTTTCCTGGCTGACAGCAATATCAGCGTCGGTCGTGTCATTGGTACAGGGATTTTCTCGACGCCGTCCTCCATCCTGGGCTCCGTCGGGTCCGTTGGCGCTTCACTATGTCTGTGGGCCCTTGGCTTCATCATCTCGTTCTTCGGCCTCTTCATCTGGCTCGAGCTCGGTACGATGTTCCCGCGCAGCGGTGGAGAGAAGAATTACCTCGAGGCCGCATTCCCGCGCCCGAAGCACCTCATGACTATGGTGTTCGCCACCCAGGTCATCCTGCTTGGTTTCAGTGCTTCGAACAGCATCGTATGCATCCGTGATTCTCACCTATTGGTGGATCTAATATCTAACGATTATGTGTCTATTGCGGCCTTCATTTGGCCAGGTCTTCGCTGAGAAGTGAGTCTTCCATTTCCTAGCTGCGGACTACTTACTGAATCTCGTAGCATTCTTGTTGCTGCAGGTCATGAAGCCGGGCGTTGGACCTCACGAGGGATCGGCCTAGGCGGTATGTTGGATTCAGTACCGTCGTCAAGGATCTTTCCGAGTAATGCAACGCGTTCTCTACGTAGTGATTGCCTTTGCCGCCTTTAGCCACGGTATTGTGCCTCGTTTTGGATTGCTCGTCATGAACGTAAGTCATCATATGTGCAGGTACAATGTATGCAGTTGCTGACTTTCCCTGAAGGCCCTCGGTGTTGTCAAAATTGTTATCTTGGTTTTCGTCGCTGTCAGCGGCTGGGCCGTCCTCGCCGGGCACACGAAGGTCACGGACCCTCACATCAATTTCCGAAACGCCTTCGCAGGTAGTTCTCATAGTAGCAACGATGTGCGTCTTCATCTTATCTCAACCACCACCGTGCTGACGCCGCCTTCAGTACGCCACTGCGCTCTTTAAAATTCTCTTCGCCTATGCGGGCTGGACGAACCTCAACTACGTCCTGAATAACGTCAAGAACCCGATCCGTACGCTCAAGATTGCAGGTCCGCTTGGCCTCGGCATCTGTGCCTTCTTCTACCTTTTTGCGAACATCGCCTATTTCGGTGCCGCGAGCAAGGAGGAAATCCTTAACAGCGGTGTCACCGTCGCGTCGCTCTTCTTCGGTAAGGTCTTCGGCCCTCAGGCACAGAAGGCCCTCACCGTCTTCGTCGCGCTCAGCGCTCTCGGCAACGTGCTGTCGGTTACATTCTCGTGTTGCCGTATCAACCAAGAGCTGGCGAAGGAGGGTCTCGCCCTCCCGTTCGGTAACCGCTTCTGGGCGTCGAACTGGCCGACGAAGAAGTCACCCTTCCCGGGTCTCATTCTCCATCTCATTCCTTCGGTGCGTACCGTCACTTCTTGCGTGACATACTAATCTCACCGAACGACCTAGGCTGTCATCATGATTGCCCCTCCGCCCAACGTTGCTTACCCCTTCATCCTGGATTTAGAGGGCTACCCCATCCAAATTATCAACACCCTGGTCGTCTTCGTAAGTACACATCGTTTTTCAAGCGCGCTGCGACTGATCACGCTTAAGGCGCTATTCTGGCTGCGCTGGAAGAGGCCCGACGTCACCCGACCTTTCAAAGTCTTTCTGCCTTTCGCATTTGTCTTCTTAGCTTCCTGCGTCTTCCGTAAGTTCCGGGCCCATCTTCCCATCGCGATGTTGTTTCTGATCGCGGCTAACAGTGCTTGTTGCGCCTTTCATCCGCCCCGCCAACGGCGTCGGTGATACTCCGCCCATCCCGTACTATATGTACGCTGTCACCGGCTGGGCCTTAATGGCCTTCGCCGTATGGTACTGGGCTATGTGGAAGAAGATCCTTCCGTGGGGTTTCAGGTACAAGCTCGTCCCGGTCAAGGAAACACTGTCAGACGGAACTGTGCTCATTGTAGTATGTTTCTTCTCGTGCTCGTGCATTCGAGAAGTCTTGCTAAATTTGTTTGCGTTGCAGTACGAACACAAGAAACTAAATTAGCTGCTATATATCAGTGTACTGTTGGTAAAATGCTATAATCACGTCCACATTCAAAACAATTATTCGCGCGCGAGCAGCGGTAGTCACTCATAGACTAGATAGACGATTTCAACATTAAATTTTTCAGCTCTGGTGTTGGCTGTGCCTGTGAGCATATGTCAAGCAAGTTTGTCCGCTGAACGACCAAGGTTGCAGGCAAGGTTGATCGAACTTCTATGTCGCTTCCGGCAACTTTTGCTCCTGATCTCGCTAAGTGTCGCTCTTTGACGACACGTGATTGTAAGTGGCTCTCTGCTGCACTGGTTTCCACCGCGCTATGCCGTTTCATGTCGCTAAAATGCTAACGAGCACTGGCGGAGGACCACCTACGCCGTGATGAGGAACAGAAAGGCGCCACCCCGAGTACCGATAGCGTGCGCGAACTTACATCATACTTCTTTTCTTAATGGCCAACCGAGACCGTGAGTGCTAAGCCGCCCGAGAATCGTCCAGTCGTCTTGAGCACATCAAAAGTTTTTGCAGGAGACCATGCTTGTCGCATCAGGTGCGTTTAGCGAGCCAGCTTCCTCCGCCCTGAACGTCGGCCCTGGCGTGATGCACAGCCAAAACTGCCAATGGTGCAATATGGCGATAACGCAGCGCTCGTGATGTCTTCCTGCTCCAGAAGGGGGACTTCTATCCGGATAAAAGCTCAGAACGCTCGTGCATATAAGATTGCGGGCATGCTTCTCTGGCTGACGGGACAGTCGCCACCTTCACCCACCCTGTCGCAGCCATGCCGTCGTGGTCAAGCTTCCTTCCGTCCCGCCAGCAGGACGGAGCCGCCGACGTCCAAAAGAGCCCAAACCCTAGTACCTCTGGGTCCGAGAAGGGCTTCCACGACAAAGACGCCGATTCTGTGTCCGCCATCCGAGAGGCGGAGAACATCAGCCCTGGGGACTTGACTCTAGAGGAAGGTGAGGTCCCTCAAGTTCAGGAAATCCAGGGTTTATCCATGGAGACGCGCTGACGAGCTTCGACGTCTACACAGATGCTGCCGGTGGAATGGGTCGCCATCTCGGCGTGTTCAGTTGCACCCTTCTCATGTACGTCTAAGCCAAACGCCAATCAGCTCCTTTGCTGACCCCATTCTAGCGTAGGACGGATCATTGGCACGGGCATCTTCTCAACACCATCGTCAATCCTCGGGTCCGTCGGATCCGTCGGTGCTTCCCTGATGCTCTGGGTGCTCGGCTTCATACTCTCGTTCTGCGGTCTGTTCATTTGGCTCGAGTTTGGCACGATGTACCCGCGCAGCGGAGGCGAAAAAGTCTATCTCGAGGCCGTGTACACAAAACCTAGGTATCTCGCAACCGTCATCTTTGCCGCCAATGCCATCCTGCTGGGCTTCACTGCATCGGGGTGTATTGTGAGTAACCTTATCACCTCGGTCCCGAACACAACTCATGGAGGTGGCAGGTGTTCGCTAGCAAGTGGGTAATCTCGTCTGAACGAGAAGATCTGGCTAACAAGCTACTTCTTCTAGCATTTTGGAAGCTGCAGGGAAGGAGGCTACGGAATGGGCGGAAAGAGGCATTGCCTTGGGCGGTATGTCTGCTGTTCTCAGCGGTCGCAGAGTTGCTAACTTGATGCAAGTGATATTCTTTGTGACACTCCTCCATGGTATTACACCGCGCCTCGGTGTCTACGTCATGAATGTGACTAGCATATATATGTTACCATGCTACCATTCCCTGATACATTTTTGGTGTGCAGGGTCTCAGCGTCTTCAAGATTGTCATCCTACTCTTCGTAGTCATCAGCGGTACATTCCCATCCATCTTCCTTCCTCAGCCGTTGCTGACAGCGTGCGACAGGCTGGGTCGTCCTTGGCGATCACACGAGAGTGAAGGACCCGTTCGTCAACTTCCGTCATGCTTTTGCTGGCAGCTCACACAGCTCGAACGACGTGAGTGCCGCGTACACAGCCCTGCAGGCTTTTGTGCTAAGTCGAACGATAGTATGCGACGGCGACATTCAAAGTGTTGAATGCGTATGCGGGATGGTCGAACGTGAACTACGTCTTGAACAATGTCAAGAACCCGGTCCGGACGCTCAAGATTGCTGGCCCGCTCGGACTCGGTATTTGTGCGGTGCTGTACTTGCTGGCCAACGTAGCTTACTTTGCGTACGTCGCCCAGCTGAATGGATGTATGCGCTTAATCTGATACTGCCTCCAGCGCCGCCTCGAAGGAAGAGATCCAGAATACCGGCGTAACCGTCGCTTCTCTGTTCTTCCACAATGTGTTCGGTACGAAAGCCCAGAAGGCCCTCACCGTCTTCGTTGCGCTCAGCGCGCTCGGCAACGTCGTTAGTATAGTACGCATAAGCTTCCCGCTCGTTACGACATTTGGTTGCTGAAAACGCCGCATTAGACCTTCGCTGCGGCTCGGGTGAACCAGGAGCTCGCCAAGGAGGGCATTCCTCTGCCCTTCGGCAGTCGCTTCTGGGCGTCAAATTGGCCGACGGGCAAGTCTCCACTCCCAGGACTAATTGTCCACCTTATCCCGTCTGTGAGTACCTGTTTCCCATCGGCCTAAAGGAATGCCTAATGGAGAATCAAACGAAAGGTGATTGTCATTCTTGCCCCTCCGCCTAACGTAAGTGTTTATACACACGTATCTTTATGCGAACTGCTCACCGTCTATCAGATCGCATACCCCTTCATCCTTGACGTCGAAGGTTATCCTGGCCAGATTATCAACTTTTTCATCGTCCTGGTACGTGCTGACACAGTAGCGTCCTTCTATTACGCTTGTCTGACGAACTGTACACAGGGTCTCTTCTGGCTCAGATGGAAAAAGCCCCACGTGCACCGACCCTTCAAAGTATGGTGGCCGCTAGCTGTATTCTTCCTAGCAGCGGCAACGTTCCGTACGTATTCTCCGATGCAACTCGGAGGACTCGCGACTCACCGGGAATTATAGTGCTCGTCGCGCCTTTCCTCAGGCCCGCGAACGGCGTTGGCGATACGCCGCCGCTGCCATACTACCTATACTGCTTGGTCGGCATCGCAGTCATGTTCGCTGGTGTCTTGTACTGGGCGGGATGGCGCATCCTTCTTCCGAAGGTCTTCGGCTACGAGCTCGTCCCGCGAAAAGAGACATTGGCCGACGGGACAGTCATTACACGAGTACGTCATTCGGTTTTTACGTAGGCCTCGTTCAGTATTGATGCGATATCCTTGTAGTTCTCACGAAGAAAAGCCGAATAGTAGGATTGGCTTGGGGACATCCGGGTATGCTGCGTTTGGGGCTGGGCGTATACGTGTACTATAAATCGGTGTCTTTGACACTGTTTTGGGAATCTAAGGCTACATTACGAGTGTCCTGGGATGATGTAAATGAGGTAGAATGAGGCGAAGACCCTTCGAGGCTTACCGAGATAAAACTGTAATCGAGAGCATGTAGTAGATATGGGAGAGTATGACACGCGAGAAGCGAAAAGCCAAATTTTTCGAAAGTTTACCTAAGGAAATGGTCAAACGATGGGCGATACCTTGATTGGATCGACACGTACTTAGATTGCAGTCCCTTCGAAGACACCTTTTCCACCGCATTGATTAACGAAGTTTTCCAATCTGCACAGGGGACATCGTCATCCCATGCGTTGGGCCCGTATCCTGCCCAAGACACCACCCGTATCTGATGCCCGGTACTGACGCACTCAAGGAAGGTCATGATCGTACCGATGCAACCGACGCGCACGTTCTCCTCGTGGTAGACTTCGCCCTGCTTGAGGGTCGGTCGGAGAGCGTCTTCACCTATCTTGCGCACGAGCTTCGTAATTGGCACGCTCTTCGCGTCCGAGACGCGGTAGCGTGCCCACGGCTTCGAGTCGGCTGGCGGGTCCTCCATGCGCACGATACGCATAACGAAGACGTTGTGCTTCCACGCGTCCGTGTTGCCTTGTTGCACGCCGAAACACCTGTAACTCGCCTGGCAGATCACCGGTCGGAATCGCTTCAGGAACTCGCCCATCTCCTGGTTTACTTGGAGACTCGAGGGTCGCGGCCGCGTTCCGGAGACGTAGCTCTCCAGACGTTCGAGCTCATCCTGGAGAGCCATAGCTTCACGATACTCACGATTGGTCTTGCAGGCTCGCTTGTGGAATTGCCAATCTGCCTTTTGACATTGCAGACTCTGTAAATTCGCGTCAGCGAGAAGGACGGTGGCGAAATAAGGAGGGAACTGACACAGTAGGCTGTTATCTTACACGACGAGCAGACCATCAGTCGTGCCCCCTCAGCCTTCCGTTTCCAACCTGTGCGATGGGTCCATTCCTCAAACACTCAAAATTAAAATGTACACGCACATTTCTGACACTGTCTATAGTGGCTCCGTGTCTCTTTCGATTGCATATCGACAGAGTCAAGATTGTCCGGATCCCGGGCAAACATCTTCGCACCCCAATCACCATCGGACATCCGTGCTTCATGTTTTCGTGGTTCAGCCGGCGATGGGTCGGTACGAGAACATGAGGTCATAACGGGACTGGAAATTGTATACAACGAGGAAGTATGGAGAAGTTGTATTGAGTCGGGAGCGAGACAGGAGCCTACTTTCAAGCGCCAGCTTTCGGCACCAGTGGCACGTGATGCGCAAGTCGAGCGCCGCGATATTGTCTACGCGTACGGCGTAATCTTCCTCGTTCCCCCCAAATGGTGCGAAAAGAGACCCAAATCTAACAGAAGGATAACGCACGACTGGAAGTCCAGCACACCTCAGCTCGGAGTTGCAGTGGCGCGACTGGTCGTAAGCTGAGTGAATTGCACTGGCGACTGGCCTTCTCCTGCCAAAAATATTCTAGTAATCTCGGAATAAACCACAACACTGGACCTCTTTAACGTTTCTGTGCGCCTGCAAATCGCTGGGCCACCCTACACGTGTATTAAAGATATCGATTTCGGGCTATTGTGCAACCTCGGCATGCTGCATGAGGCGCGAACTAGACCAGGGCCAGACGGCGGAGTGGGACGTGCTGCACAAGCGAATATTGTCCCATTTTCTGGTGGAAGGTATGGGCAGCCTCATGGCAATGCGTCGCGCGAAAGGCGGCGATGTGGATGCTGGGAAGTACTTCATGGGGTGCATGTTGTGCAACCTTGTTCCGCTTCCACCCGAAACCTGTACGCTTCTAGAGTAGTACACCGAGACATGTGCCCTTAAGGACGCGTACAGACGGTGGGAAAGGGAGACATGAAGAGCAAAGAAGCAGGGAAGGAAGGGCGGAGATTGATGACGAGCTTGAACACGGCCAAGAGCTGGGTCGGAACATAGACGGGGTGCTTGCATATACCCATTTACTGCAACTTGAAAGACACGAATAGGCGTTAGGTACCCGCAGAGATACGGTGTAGGCTACAACTTCTCTCCCACGTTAATCCTGCTGTAATTTCCAGGGAGAGGCCGAGTACGTACTTCGAGAAGGCTTTGAAGTCGAGGACCTCTGCGTCACTCAACAGACAGAAAGCTAAGCTGAATGTGAGATGGCAAGCTCTGCCAGTAGCTTGTACACCCTCATAGTGCTGATACGTTCAATCACGTTGACCGCGTCGTCCATGCGCGATGTTCGCAGAGACAGTGCTGGGCGACACCTTCGCTAGGACTTACATACTTTGTCCTCTAGCTGAGTGTGCTAAGTTCGGCAGCGATGTAGCAAATGTCAAGTCAGAACACGTTCATGGTCCCCAAGCAAAGTGGTGGTCGGCTCCATGGGGGTCGCTCAATGAGGGGATCAGAGCGTGCTTACATAATGACGTGACGACAGGACACCGCGCCGTTACCTGTCGGTCGCCGCTGTCGCTCTCTCGCTTCAACTTCCACAGCCTCGTAATCCATTGGCTTCTCGTTAAAACATCGTGGTTCGATTCATCGACGACGACTACATCCTTAACGTGGTGTGATGCGATATCACTCTCTAACTAGGCTGGTAAGAACAACCAAATAATGTCAACAGCAATGCGAGTGGGGTGCTGCGGTATGCAAGAGGAGGTGGGTATGCGGACTGGGAGGGCTATGAAGGGTGTGTATGGCTGGGCAATGAGGGTTGCGCAGAAAGTGTGAGGATGATACTAACACATGGGTGCGGGAAGATGCGGTGGTACAGCTGCGGTGAAGAAGTAAAAGTACAACAGAAGTGCATGAAGTGGTGGAATAACCAAAGAGGATGTACAACAGATCTCCAGCCAAAGTGAGTACAACAGTAAAACCCTCGTGTGCGCAGATTTTGATACAGAGTTCAAGGGGCGTGAAGGGAAGAAATAGGAATACATAATGTCCGTCAACGAACGCCCGCGCACGTTGACCGATTCATCACCAGGTCACGCCGCCGCCATTACCGCCAGGAAAGTTTGTGAACATGCAGGCGAAGGGGTCTTGGTCGGACCCGGGCTCGGGGTAAGCGTTCGATTCGGACATCATCGCGTACGCAGCCTCTTCGCTGTCGTAGCCCGACGGGGGCTGGTCTGGCATCGTCGTGCCCAGTTGGATGGGCGGAATGGACGACAGGTCAAAGTCGTCGGCGATGATCACCTCGGACGGGTCAGGCCAGAGGGCCTGCGTCGGCCAGGAGTAACCACCGTAGCCAAGCTCGGCGGTGAGACCGTCGTCGTCGACGTTCTCGGGCACGCATCCAGGTGCGGGCTGGTTTGCGTGCTGGTTCATCGACAGCACGTTCATAGAAAGGCTGTCCGCGGGCGTGTACGGCCCGCAATGTGACGATGCTGACGACATCGACGAAGCGATCGTGTCCACAGGAGAGAACATGCCAGAAGCTACAGACTCTACGGGAGAGACTAGGTCGTTGTACGATTGCGAGTCGCGCGGGATGGTGAGGGACTGCAAAGGTACGCCGCTCGCCTTGTTTCCGAACGGGCTCTGATTGTCCCACTGGAAGGGCTGGAACGAATCAAAGCGCTGCTGCGGAGCTACGTCAGACCAATCATTACACACGAAAATGAAATGCAAGACCCACCACTGCGTTGAATTGGGGTCGCTGGAACGAGGGCGGGAGGACAGCGTCTTGGGGCATATACTCAAAGTGCGTCGATGGATCCGCTTCGCTAGGTGATGGCACATATGACGACCTCCGGCTGATACGTGGGATTCCTGTCGGGGATGGCGGGCATGAAGGCATGAAGACAGTTGGGAGCTGTATGGTCTGGAACGCAGGCGGGGGCGTCGGCGCAGAGCACGCGCGGCGACCCTGACTGATGTTCGCACCGCGGCTGAGACTACGAGGAGGTGATGGAACAGGCATGATGAACGAGATACCCGGCTCGCCTTCCCCCTCGCCGTCCGCCTTCTTCCCCTTGCCCTTCTTCGTCTTCTTGACCCGCTGTGGGCGGTAGACATAGTTGGGATACATATCCTCGTGCTGCTTCTTCTTTTCCTTCGCCAGGTCTTCCCAGTACTGCCTCTCCTCCGACGACAAGCCCTTCCACTGCTGGCTGATAGCCTTGGAGAGGTCTGCCTGTCGCTGCTTCTTGGCAGGCGCCGCAGCAGGATCCTCGGGATCCTCCTGCGCCTGGTTGCGGTCCTCGCAGCATTTGCGGCGGAAGAGGATGAACGCATTTTCGGGACGCTTAATGTAGTCCTCGTCGCCCCTCTTCGGCCTCCGCTCGTTATCGCTGACGGTCGATCTACGCCGCCGATGCGAAGCCTGCGAGGACGTCGCCGTGGAAGGAGTCGAGAACATGGATGAAGTTTCTGAGCCTAGTGAGGAGGCGGGGGAGAGTGCACGCTGCGGGGGTGGTGTGGATCGTATGGACTTGAGGTCGGGCTCGAAGGGCGAACTAGACGGGGAAGCGAATGGCGGTGGGTCATGCTGAGGGAAAGTGAAGGCGCGCGGCGTCGGGGAAAAGATGGCTACTGTCGGGGTGAGTGGTTCGTCTATCGCTGTCGTAACTTCGAGTGCTGGACACGTTGCAGATGAGTGTCTATCCTGAGCGCTGCGGCGGAGGGAAGCACTTACTTCGTGATGCAGTGTCGCGAGTGCGAAGGGCAGGCATGATTGTTCTCGTGATAGGAGAGGTATGCAAGAATAGGAAATGGGTGACGCGAGGCTGGCTCCCTCGAGGCTGGATAATAGGGACAAGAACTCCTGGAGGTGCAGGAGGGGAGTGGCTCTGAGGCCCCGAGGAGGAGAACAATTGCGCGAGAGGAGGACGGAGGGGCAAGACAATACGGAGTGGACTTTATAAGCTTAGGGCGAGATGAGGTTCCGCCGAGGGATGCCATGGCCCTGTATTGCGCTTGATCTCACAGAAATCTGGACGGTCGCGTTCTCGGGCTGGAGGCGCTGGCGTGCTCTAAACCCAAATCGGGGCGAGCGGTCGAATCAGAGAGTGAGTGCCCTCCATTGTGTGTCCAAATAATGACAAACAGTCTTTATTGTTCTCCTCGTCCTCGCTCTCCGCCGGACTGCCTTCGTTCGATCCTCTATTGGTCCCAGAGGCGCACTCTCATGCGCTCCCAACGTTATCTCCCACATCCCCTTCCATTTCCCCACCCACGCACAGTCACCCGTGCCTCGTTTGTCTCCGCCCAACCTCCTCCTGCCTGCGAACGAGACTCCTCTCCCCGAGCATTGTCCACACCTCGTGCCGCAAAATGTCTCATTTAAAGCTCCGCGATTACGCTCCCCGGACGTACCGCAGCCGCGCACATGCACCCTCGTGCACCGCCCCGCCCTCGCTTCCACACTACGCCAAATGGCAACTCGTGCAGGATTGTCTGGCCAGTGCGCTTTGCGGCCCCGCCACGCTGCTCGCGCGTTGCACTCCCTGCTCGGACTTTGCGCTTCGTCCTCCGCATCCGCTGTGCAGCCTCGGGCTTGCGCGCGGTGCGTCGTGTTCTTGCACTGGACATATGTCATATGCTTTGCGTGCGGAAATGAAATATACGTTGTGTGCTGCTTTGCGCTATCCTCTTCCATCGGTGCATCGAAAAGACGGACAAGGAAATATTGCGGTTGCGGATCATACACCTAAACTTGAGCCGTCCGCAGTCCATCTTCTCCCCGGACGTAGCGGTCCTCTTTGACATACCAGAAAGGCAACCTCGAAGAGAGCTGCTGGCGGTTCGTCGCTTCCGCCCCCTTGTCGGCTCACGGGTACTTTCTATGGTGTTCCTACGTCTTCGGATCTCAATCGAAGGCAATCGGCCTTCGTATCCTTCGTTAGACCCTGCCCTCCGACGGCCCACAGAGGATCCTCTGTCAGCCCTGGTGTCAAAACGCGCGCGCACTATCCGCTGCACCTTGTGCTGCATACCTATCATGGTCTTGTGCCCGCGGCTCGATGTCAAACTGATGATCGTCCCGCGTACTAACCGTGCGTACGGATACCAAACATACCTACGGATCGTGCTCCGAGACGCAGATGACTTGCTCCGCCTCTTGCATGAACGAGACATCTGTGCAAGCGCAGCGGATCAGGAAACGCGGGCACGAACACGAGGACGTACGCGGCACAGGAATAACTAACATAACGTTAATTCGGGCAGCCCGACACAGCCTTCACGAAGTCGCAGCGAGCTCCCGTCGCGACAGCCCCATCGATAGAAACCTCAGCGGGTGCTATCTCATTTCCCGGACGCAAATCAGCGCGGCCGCTCCATCCGTGTGCACATGCAGCCGTTGCGTCGCGTCGCGAGAGCCTTCGTCCGGACATGCAACGAACTCGCCATTACGTTTCGCGTGGCCAGAGAGGCTGAGGCAATGCGCCATCTCGTGCACCGGTCGCACATCTGATGGAGCCCCTTCCCACGGGCCGCAATACAGAGCCGGCAACTCAGCGCAGTCCGCGTCGTAGCTGACCAAATTTTCACGCTATCGACTCGCGCCGCGCGGCAATGCGTCCTGTCTTCCTCCGAGGGGCTGACGTGCGTGCTTTGGCTTTTTTTGCGCGGTTTTCATGGGGAGCGATGACATCGTTGCGGCCCTCGCAGGGCTGTGCCGCCCGTGTACGTACACGGCACCGTGCAGGGATCAGGGTGGTCGTGTCAGCTCACACGGAGCTTATGCTATGCACTTTCCCTCGCTCATAGGTGTCTTGATTGCGGGACGGAAATATAGCGCGTGCCGCAGGAGGAATAGACAGCAGTGGCGGGGCGGACCAGCTCGTTGCCCCCTTGCCCTGGCTGAGCACCGATCAAACATATCAGTTTTCCCCTGGCCTACGTGCGGGATGTCTAGGGGCATTGATACGGTAGATACGTTGCTGAGGAGCCGTCCGAACTGTCCGAACACAAAGTCATGAGTTTCAGCTGACAATAGCCGGTAAACAAAGAATTTGTCTCACCTGATCGAGCTTCACTGGCTGCGCATGTTTGAACGGGACCATTCTGAGGAATTTCGGATGTTGTGGTCAAAGCGGGTGGAGCTCGGGGTGCAACGCCACAAAAGGCTCGCGAGAAGTTGCACAATAACACTTTTGTCAAAGCAACCGTTGCCGATGGCCGGTTTTGGACGACCGACGCGCGCCAATCACTGTTCCCCGTGGCGGTCGGTACACGGTTGCCTCCTCGCGCCATCAAACGCCACCCCGCTCGTTTGATCCCGGAATAGGCAACAGCGTCGGACGATCGACGATTGATGGTTACTGGCTTCGCCCTGCTTCGTCCCGATCGAGAGTCCCCGCCTCTCTCGGTTAGGATCGGCACCTGCGCTCCCGTGACAGTCCTTTCTCTCACTCTCTCACGCTCTCCGTGCCTGCCAGTGCTCGGTCGTCAGGTTACGGCAACTTCACGCTTAAAAATCGGACACGTCACCACTCGGTATGATCTTTATTCGTGTGAAATGCAGCAGTAGTGACGTAGACGCAGGACGCAACATGCCCAAGGCGAAAGCGACGAAGCGAAAGCATTCGTCCAGCCCAGAGAAGCCCGCTTACACCCCTGCGGAGACTAACCAATCGAAAAAGCTGAAACTATTAGCGGCACATGCAGTAGAGTCGCCCTTTCCAGACTACGCCAGACCAACGCCCGAAGAGGCGCAAGAAGTCTACGACGTCTTGGCGAGGGAGCACCCTGACATTGCTTCCACGTCACGCAACCCATCCTCCGAGAACGACGCTGCAGCGACCTGCGGAAAGGTTCCCAACGTGCTCGAGTCCCTCGTCGGCACGATCCTCTCGCAGAACACCTCGGCCAAGAACTACACCGCAGCCAAGCGCAACCTGGACGTAAAGTTTGGGAGGAATAACTTCGAGGCGATCGTCAACGCACCAAAGTCGGAACTCGTCGACGCGCTGCGCACAGGAGGCCTGGCCAACAAGAAAGCCGAGGTCATCCAGCGGATCCTGCACGAGGTGAAGGAGCGCCATGGCTCCTATTCGCTCCAGCACCTAGCTGGGGTCGTCGAGAGCCAGGAGCCGGGCGAGGAGGCGAAGGTCTTCTCCGATGAGGACGCCATGAAAGAGCTCGTGTCGTACAACGGCGTCGGCCCAAAGACAGCTTCCTGTGTCCTGCTCTTCTGCCTTGGGAGAGCGTCCTTCGCTGTCGACACTCACGTCTTCCGGCTCTCGCGGCTTCTGGGCTGGGTGCCTGCGAGGGCAAACCGTGTCACCGCGCAGGCGCATCTCGATCTGCGCGTACCGAACGACCTAAAGTACGGGCTGCATGTACTGATGGTCGGACATGGTCGACAGTGTAACGGCTGTAGAGGCCGGGGCGAATGTCCGCTCAAGACGTGGATGAAGTCGCGGAAGGATGTGAAGGATGAGGATCTCGAGACTATCTCTGCGAAAGCCAAAGAAGACGCAGAAGAAACTGAAGTGAACGGAATCAAGTTGGAGTCTGTCTGAGGATGGACTGGGGTAGTTATCAGGTGAGCAGCGAGCGAGCCTCCCCTGTACACTGAGGAAATGCTTATAAGGACATGGCAGCGCACTTCTCGTACTCCTTTGTAGCCTGCAGCTTTATAATCCTTTATCTTTGGTCTGGACCGCCCTTTGTTTCAGTGGCGTGACATCGTTGATGTGTGACCCATCAGTGACTATAGGCCGGTTATCAATGAGACTTGCCTTTTAGAGCTAAAAGTCGTCATTGATGGTTGGTGGGCGACCTTGAGCAACGGCTCGCTGAACAACATGCAGGCTCGCAAGCGAGTCGTGCATTCTGGCTCTGCGTTTTTGGAAGAATGCTCGCATTCCATGACGACGAGGTAAATTCGCGCATTTCTATCACTTGAGAAGGCGGTCCAAGCATCTGCGCCCGCTTCCGAATTACACCGCCTTTTACACCGTTCCTCACAGAAGCTCATCGCCATGTATGTCCAGGTCCTAGGCGCAGCACGTACATATTTTTGTGTGTACGACCGCCTATAGAGATAGCCCAGTACGCATTGCCACTCGATTTGCATGCTGCGTCCTCGAGGCTGATCAAGTTTGATTCGCAGGGGTCTGCCTCTCTCCATGTCCTCCCCCCTGTTTCTCTTCCTCCACCCGCCACCCCCATTCCACCGTACGCCCTCCGGCTACACTTTTTATGGCGGGCTGGGGCTCGAATTGGGAGCACGAGGTCCCAATACCGCCGAACGCCATTCTACCAAGTAATTGGCGCACAGTCGATCCAACGAGGCCGTGGGTGCCTTCGCCAGAACCTCAAACTGTAGCTCTCCCCGACGATTGTGGCGAGAACAGACCGCAGAAATCTGCCACAGGCGACCCGCTGTGCGTTCCCTTCCCAGAACCCCGGCGATCGCAAGATCGAGCGACGCCGGAGGCGAAGACGGACGATTCTTCCGAGAGACCGAAACGCAGATCGCGGCTATCGGTTTTCTACTGGATAGATAGGCTCAGTGCGCATGAGTTTCATTGCCTGAATCGCCGGATGGCCTCGCTGATCGCGGTGCAGGATCGTCGTGGGGCCGAAAGCCTAAGCAAGACAAAAGCTCGCAGACAGTGCAGCAGCTAGAGGCGAGGCAGGTGACGCCCGGCGAATTCAAGGCGTACGGGTACTGGGCGCGGCCCCGGTTGGGCAGCATCATAGTGCGAAATGCCAGTGCGTGCATGGGTTCTCGGCCTTCTTACCGTACACGCGGCTGACGCGCCGCCGCACCAGCACCCCCTCCGTTCCCGCGACACCTGACGCAGACGCAGGTGGAGGCTGTGATGCGCAGCCTCCGGAGCCCCGACGGCGCGATGCACCCCGAGAACTGGATCCCCCGCCTCGAGCACCCGGCGCTGCCGCCGCGCCCCGACCTGTGGTCGACGCCACCCTCGACGCCACGGTCCACGCCGCCGCCGCTCCCGTGCGAGATGCAGCTGAATCCGCTGCTGCAGCACAGGCGCACGGGGCTCCCAATGCTCGACTACGACCTGCGGCACCGCGATCTGTGGGTGTTCGTCGGGCCGCCGCAGACGCTGCCCGCCGCGGGCGGCGCGGACGCGCTCAAGGTGCCCGTCTCGCTCGAGCTGTACGGCCCGAACGGCGCGCAGCCCGCGACGTACCCGGGCGTCGGCGCGCTGAACGTGACGATGCTTGGCGACGAGCCCTTCGCCGAGTTCCACTGGCCGTTCATCGTGCTCTCGCGCCACCCCGCGCTGCCCGTCACGGTCCAGGACGTGCTCGAGGCGGTGCACGAGAACTTCCGCCAGTGCCTCACCACGGAGGAGGTCGACATGCTTGGCCCGTTCCGAAGGGACCAGCTCTTCAGGACGTACTGGGCCCGCGTCGAGTGGTTCCCGAGCGACGAAACCGCAGGACTCCGTCGCGTGGATTATCTGGGCGATCGGTACATGTTTCGCGGGTTGGAGCCGGCGCCTGTTGGTGATGGATTCATGATTTTCTTTGGGCCTCAGAGATGAATTTTTTCTCTCACTTTCTTTCTTTCTTCCCCCCTTTTCCCCCCTTCGACATTTCTTATTCATATTGTAAACTCTACAAAATGCGTATTGCAAGTTTGTATCCTCCCACTACTCTGTACGTTGTAACACGTGTTTGTTTAGTCGCGCCGCTTGCCCTTGTACCTCATCCCCCTCCCACCTTACTTCTCTCCGACTCTGCGGAACGCCGGACGAGCTTGCAGAGGTGTCGCGTGAGCTACACGGAAAGCGAGGAGCGCGCCGCCTCATATGCCCATATTGTGGCCCCGGACGGAGCAGAAATTCGATAGAAACACGGTGTTATGGCATTGGAGGCGCGCGGCGCGCTTACCTCGGAAGGGCGTCCCGGACAGGCGAGAGTCGCCACCGCCTTCGCAACCTTCGTGCTCCACCGCCGCCGGAGGCGTGACATCGACATCACATGCATTGTTACACACCGTGTAGGACTTTCCAGGCTGTCGGGCCGCACTCTGTGCTCAGACCCACGCTGGGCGAAATCGGGCGAGTGAGAGAGTCAGTGAACAAAACAGATGATCGCGGGATGCAGATAAGTGCGACTCACACAGGCTTGAGCTTGATTCATAACACACGTGTATCGGCGACGCGCAATGGTCTGTGCAGTGACCGAGTGCTGGGGCGCTTAGAGACGAGAATTAGCTCCGTAGCCAGCAGGATAGAGTTCAAGGATGCAATAAGGATGCTGCAAATAAGATCCGTCGGCAGCATCGGGTCCAAACTCGCCGCTTTGCTATTGAGATCCCAGAATAGAGGCGAGGACGCAACTCGGGGGACATTGGAATGCATGCAGCATGCGAAGATGGTGGCCAGGCGAGATAACGCGTCCGCCTGATCCGCGTGAGGTTATCGCGCAGCCCGACGTGTTGTCCGGCCTCAGTCGCAAATGATCACGTTGACCGACAGCGCTACCCAAGAGCGCAAGTAGAGCGTCATTAGTTTTTGGGCGCCGCAGGTGCATCATAGCGGAGCGTTGTGGCAGCTTCGCCAGGGCCTCGAGGACCTATATCGGCGGTGGAAGAGTAAACAGCGCCGACCGTGCCCGTACGAGATCGACGGATACCCAAGCATCTGGAAAGCTTGGTGAATCGTGATCAAAGTTACGACGAGTACCCTCGGTTTGCTCTCGATGTTACCGAACAAGTTGCTAGCCTGTGGAACCACATTGTGAGCTTAGTGCGCGAGCGGTGCACCAGGAGTTGGTGCTTACCCTCGACCTAGGCCCGCCATTCAAATGCATAGCCTTGATACGAGACCAGCACCTTGGTTGGCAAGGCTAATTGTGTCGCTCCATGTACAAACATGTCAAGAGGGGTAGGAAATGTTGGCGCATGATGGGAGATATCTAGATCGTGGCTATTCACCCTGAACGTACCCATGAGGAAGGGCGATGCGAGACCAACTGAGGCTATGGATCCATAATGATGAGCGGTCTAATTCGAGGGATGGTGATTCGCATTCACTAAACCACTATTGAGCGTGATCTAGAACCTACGTCAATGCAGCGACTTCCAGCTCCAAGTACAGGAGTCGGATCCTTCGGAATAGCTTATACTGACAATGGAAGCACTCACCATATATTGCAAGACCCTCGTACGACACTGTTGTGATAGGCCATATACAAGGTTGTCGTGTCCGCACTGAACCAGCATGTCTCGAGAAGGTTCAGGCGAGCAGGGACGAATCGCTATCGTACGCGGTGCCCAGCCGTGCGCAGTCTGAGTCAGACCATGTACCGTGAAGACACAAGGCGTTCGCGACCATGTGCAACAGCGGCGACATGGGCAACGGCAATCCTGATACGGGGTTGAGGAGGTCAATACCGACAGGGAAAGCTGTACGTGGTAAAGAGTATGTCCATCATCCTCTGCCACGAGGGCGGCAAGCCGGAACTCATTGCTCACATGAGACGAGAGGACTTCGCGGAGCGGGACGGCGAAAGGTTCACGCAGCATGGCAACATGAAAGAACTGAAGCTGCGCGCCATTACTGGGCGGAACTCAGAGCTGTCTGGACTTCGCAAATGGGAAACACCACCCCTGTAAGACGCGGGTGTATGGTGCAATTCCGCGTTTTGGTACGGGATGGGTCGCCCAGAAACTTTTGTACTCGCTGTTGTTCATCCTGGGAGGAAGCTAATGTGAGAGCATTGTCTGTATTTGAAGATCAACCGTCCGTAAATGACCTTGCGAACTTTGGCAGTACCGCTGGTGACCCGTCGAGGCACGACGCCCACGCTGGCTTGTTCCGCACCCTAGCCATACGACAGTGGAGATACCGGCCATGAGAAGGTCACATAGGCTCCGGTTACTGCGAAGACATTAATATTGCAAGCGCTGCGCCGTTTGTCTTTCTCCACAACCTCGGGGCGACTACTCGTGCTGCATAAATCTTCGAAAATTTCTATTAACTCTTGAAGAGCTGCTAGAAGCTGAGCTTCGATCTGCGCAGGTGGTCAGTGCAGCGAAGGAGGATAGCAAGCGATGTTCATGATGATATCTCCCTCGAACATGATTTCCCAGAACAGAATAAAGGCAGTACACACGCTTTAGCCCCGAATCCAAACTTTCGCGTCTCTTGTGTTCTTCCGACCGTGACTACGCTGCTTAAGTTTTCTCGCTGACTCCTCTAGCAACACCCAAGTAGCCCAACTAAAGCTATGTCCGCAGAGGAGATCGTTCAGGACATGGCGTTCGTCGACGATGATGACGGTGAGCTCGTACGTTGTGATTTAGGCGCACATGGTACAAGCATCCCCGGTTAATGCTGCAGATATGCCCCCGCTCGTCGACAACCCGTACCCGGCGGCAAGCATGACCTTCACGTTCGCGGCTAACATGACTCCAATTGCGTACGGAACGGATGCAAATTTTCTCGAGATTCCTCCCGCGGCTCCGCGGTCGTTCATGTACACTCCTGAGCCCGAGCAAGACTTTGAACCTGCTACCACCAACGCTCACTCGAAGAAGAAGGAGAAAGACGCGAACTACATCCCCCGCCCCCCGAATGCCTTCATCCTCTTCCGTTCCTCGTTCATCAAAGCCCAGCACATTCCGGAGAAGATCGAGGGGAATCATAGCGCGCTGTCCAAGATCATCGGTGCGTGTTATAAATTGTGCATAAATGGCAGATAATTCAATGCATTCTCAAACGCATTTAGGAAAGTACTGGAAGACTCTTTCGCCCAAGGAGCGGCAAATCTGGGATGCAAAGGCCATCATGGCCTTGGCTGACCATCGCAAGAAGTACCCCGGCTGGCGGTTTAGAACGACGGCGAACGCGCTAGCTAAGGTCAAGGACGGACCGAAGCGCAAGAACAATAAGAAGGCTAGAGGTGAAGCGGACAAGAAAGTCAAGGACCGAGAGAAACGATGCGACAGGATCGCGGACCTACTGGCCGCCGGAAAGACAGGTGCGGATCTGGAGAAAGCAATAGAGAAGTTCGACCATGAGATAGAGGACGGGCTCAAAGTCAAAGACGAAGGATGCGGTGTGTTCGCTGCGAAGCCCCAGGAGAGCATACCACCCCCTGGGGCATGCAACGTTCCAAGCGACGTCGGCGAAGTCGGGAATCTGAAGAGATGCGGGGAATCTCCTGGGGCGTCGTGTCCTGTCAGTCTCCCAGAGGCTCGCGAAATCTCTCATGACTTGTGCAATCCCAGATTCTGCACCCCGCTGACCTCCATGTTCAGGCGTTCCTCGTCGGCCCCTGCTGCGCACATGCGCCCAGCTGCCGGGGATACAGCTCTTCCTAGCGCGCCCTACCTTGGCCGTCGCGAATCGTTTAGCTCGTTCTCTTCCTACTCAGACGTTCAGCAGCCTCCTGCGCTCCCTGGAGGCGTCGGCCATGGGGCCAATCCACGTGTAGAACGCAAGGGCAACGCGGAGTTCAACGTGGCAGCCATGCGGCAGAACGACTGGAATTATCAGCCGTCTCCCTTTGTCTTCTTCCACCCCCCGAGCTCACCCGAGCTGGCCTATCCAGGTTGGGAAGAGGTCAGTATCTGTTTGCGCTTAGCGAGACAATAAGCTAACTTTACGTCCCTGTCGTCAACGTCTCAGACTCTCGCTTCGCCTCCCTATGGTAGCCAGGTTCACAGCCCCAGCCTTCCGCCGTCAGAGAATGATACAGATGATTACTCAAGCCCTGTGCAGTCACCTATGTCTTCTGCATTCGACATGTTCCCAGAAGCAGACGCCGCCAGCGTCTACTCTGAGCGCGTCAGCGATTCCCCTGACGCTCAGCACGCCCAACTCTTCTCTCACTGTCCCGCGATGAAGCCTTGGACGGGCGGTGGAGAAGCGAAGGCTGTCCCAACAGGACACAATCCTTTCCTCGGTCCCTTCGTCGTGACCCCGCAGACGCCTTCGATGTATGACCCCGAAGGCATTATGCAGAACGCCTTCGAAGCTGCGTCCTATGCTCATCTCAGCGCCTGGGATATCGGCTTCAGTCAGTATCAGCCGTCTCAATTCCGCGGTACCGACAATTGGGAGTGCTTGCAAGAGTACAACCGTGCCGCTCAGGCGTACACCTGTCGCCCTGGAGACAATGATCAATTGTCAGACTATCTCTCCTTGTCCGTCAACTAGACAGCAGCTCTAAGTTCTATCGCCTCTGGAAAAAATACACGAATCACCTATGCCCACCTCGGATTTACGCCCTCAACACCCTCACTCATGCGCTCCATTAGCCGTCTTGCCTGTGACGATCTCCGAACCGCCTTCTCCATACACGCTTCACGGATTCCTTACCGCTCTCGGTTGTACAACACACTCCCTTTTTTCCACTCACTGAAGTCGAACTCCTGTTATGCCTTGTCTCGCCTCACCGTCAGTCAGTCTACATTATGTTTGTTTGTGCTATGCCGTCCTTGTCTTCAAAGTGTATGTCCTCGCCCATGTATGTACTGTGTATTACTTCTGTAGAGTAGCGCTCTGTCCTCGGTGCGTGTCCTGTCCTATGTTATATTATGAAACTTTCACTCTATCAGCCGCTCTGAGGAATGCAAATCTACCAGTCTTAAGGGTAAGTCGCCTGATTCTCTGTTAAAGTCGCCGGCTCGACGTTGATGTCATTGTACGCCACACTCTAGATGGTCTGTCGCACGCAGGTCTCAATTCAATTGAGCTCATCTTTTGTCGACATCTCATTGGTGAGATCTTGCGACTCTCAGGACCAGGTGAGAACAGTACTCTTCTGGAAGTGCAATCTTATCCCAGGAACTTATCATATGACACAGGCACCCTGAGGCTGCGTACCGCAGCGTTTACGGAACCTGGCCCGCTGTGTCGAGAACATCGAAGCATCATGCGTCTCCACAAGACCGGGGCGGCAGCTATCAGCGGTGACGCTACAGGCGGCTGTTCCACACTCAGAGCTCTAGAACGCCTTCCAGAGCGGTATACTTCGCACCCTCAATGATCATGGACCACCCGCCCCGTCTGGCCCGCCCGACATTCCGGCAGAGCTACGCTCGTACCGTAAGCTGCAGCGGTCACGCTCGCGGATCTTGCGTAGACAAGCCCAACAAACGAACAGTGGCGGATGCCTCAGCCGCGGAGGCTGTTTTTCATGTTCGTTGGTGGCTCACTATAAACCTTGCATCGACGCTAACTTCATCACCGTCTGCATTAGCTCGCGGGCAGGGCTGTCTATCGGAAACGGGCGAACTTCGGTCAGCTTGAAACTCTACTTCATTGCCGTACAGCCCATCCAAAGTCTGTCTCATATCACTTTGGGTGATGCCTCAGCGGCCCAAGCGCCCATATTGCAGACAAGGCGAGCCATTATTGGATGTCCCCCTCATATGACTGCACGCAGAAGGCGGCAGAGCACACGGCTGTTGCGCTTAGTACGTACTTCCCGTCTTCTCTCATAGATCTGCCCTGCTGGCTGACACCCTGAACGCCGTGTTTCCCAGAGGCGGCCACATGGAACGTGGCTCTCCGCGCCTGAGATGATCTCCGAGGTTGGAACTGAAGGCGGGCTAGTGTGAAACTAGCGTGTTTGCGTACCGTCGGCGGCTGGCGGAGCAGGCCACAGGGAAGTAAGTGCACGGGAGCTAAATATCTTCTGCCGATGTTTTGTGGTGTTCCTGAAGAGCGTGATAAAAGGTCTGACTAGGTGTGTTCTTCCCAGGTGTAAAGCTCTCCGTCGATATAGCCCCTTAGAGCCCGTTACTCAACATCATATCGGATCCGCTGGGCGTTCCCACAGTGTACGAATGCGGCTGTTTAAAATCAGATATGCCAGGCGTCATTAAAGCATCCGACATTAAACCTCGTCGGTGGTTATATTTTGATTTCGGGCCAGTTTCGCTCTCTATTCTGTATTCAATGAGTCCGGTTGAAACAACGCATAGGGAAGATTTCAGACGTGAGTGCTGTACGCTTTATCCTCCCCTCCGACGATCGTCCACGGCGAAGGAGGGCAGCGTGTGAACACCCTAGGTGGATTGAGCAATTTGCGACCTCTACTAAAACCATTTGTAATCATGCGTTAGGCAGGGGATACGTGTCAAAGTAAGTTCGCTTCTGCACTTGTATTCATTTTTATTGACCAGCAGCTTACTAGCAAGGTAGCTTGCAAAGATGTCGGTCAAAGTGCATGGCTGTTCCTCGTATCCGACCACCGCGCGTACGCATGATCACGCGCATTGACGCCACATATCCAATGTGTGTGAACGGATGCCGCAGCAGTATCGTGATAGATGATTATTTGATTACAGGTATGATCGCAAACATACCGCCAATTAATATATTGTGGGCTCTGGTGTGCCCTTTAAGAGCCTAAACCGAGTCGATGTGTGCCAAAGACACTCGGCTCCGCGTCACCTTGGCGTCCGAGCTATGCAATTCGTAGCGTCGGTGAGTACTAACTACCAGTTTTTTCACTTCATTGCGTGAGTGAAACGCTCAATTGGCCATTGTCCGTCACTTTAGGCAGTCCGTTCTAGCGGCGGTATTCATAGCGGGCCCTGGTATCATCTTCGCGATGTCGTATCTTGCTCGGACATCCCCACTGTCAAGTTCGTCCCTTGGTATCGTATTGTCATCTCCTATCTCGTCTCAGCTCTGACACCGCGTCCCCATGTAGCCATGGTCATTACTTGACTGTCGCGAGGCGGCCGCCGCTGACATCTCAGGTACGAGAGGAAGAGAAGCACACGGCTCCAATGTGCTGCGAACCTGCGTTACCTTACAAACCGAGGATGACTCACTTTCAGAGAATGAAAAGGCGGTTTCGGCGTTGTGCGTCGCCCTGAGGACAACCACGTGGGCAGCCACGCTCTATTCGCATTGTTGCGAAATTGGTCCCAAGATAAACCATACGCTTTTCATGCCTTGCCCTTGGATGGCTATCGTGTTCGCTTTCACTTTCATCGTGAAGGTATAGATCTCGTTGTGCCACTACATAAGTCCCTCATGATGTGCTAATGGTGAGTTGCAAATCAGACTTAGTTACGGTAAGGGTCTCACAGTTGTGAGAAATCCGTCGCTGAGACTGGAGAGCGACATGATAGGCCGCTTACTGCAGAATGAGAAGGCGTCAGCGTCATCACCCCGCTCTTGCGCATCCGCTAATATGACATGTCTCTGCAGAGCTACGCCCTTATATGTGCACTAAGAACGTACCGATGTGATGCCACCAAGGGATAAACACCAGCGGACCCTCCGGCTGGAGATAGACATCCTACAAGAGCTGCTATGGAAGACCACCGCAACCGCTTCGGATGTGGTCGGCGATTGGATAACAGTCTGGGCGAACGGCTGCGGTTGTGATCCACTACTGCAACTACTCTGCTAGTTCCCGTTCCCATTATGGGGAACAGCGGAAGCTTGCTACTGCCGGAGGTCTTAGGTCTAGTTGCCTCGAGACACTGGGCGCGTCAGCGGTCGCTCAGTGCGGTCTAAAGTGATGCATGTTGTGAGTTGAGGCCCTGCTGATCTGGAACTTTGCCGGCTCGCAGAAATAGAAGACCAACATCATCCCTGTGTGCGTCAGCTTTGCAAGCACCGTATCTGTCCCTCGGGGTGGCGCGCGTGTAAGCCTGTATTCCTCTCTGTTATTGGCTGTGCAGCCGTTATTCTCTTTCATATACTAGCTCATAGGTCTTACGGCAGTCACGCGTCCTCCTTCCTCTTTTCTCGTTACCTCTTCAAACATTCTTCAAAGCGAGTCATTTCCCTTGGCGCCGTGACTGATCCGAAATTGCCTCCTGCTGACATGGCCATTCCAGCAGCGTATATGACTGTTGACTAGTAACAAGGCCGACGGCTCTGTGCCCATGGTCCTAGAATAGGAGATGGATGGCATAACGGTCCGGATGCGCTCGTCTGGGGAACGTTCGAGGAGTGGGTCATCAAGTTTTGTCAAACTCTTACGCTGTACGACCTATGCTACCACTACCACATAAGATGAGTGACGCTTTCAAAACGAATAATTTGCGAATAATAGTCTATAACGATACCTAGTAGACATGAGTACAGCACATCACTGGGCATATAAGTCTGCGATCTTAAGTGTTAAATAGGCTGTCACAGCAGATCAACAATAGTTATGGGTAATAGCGGACGACCCCATCCACTATCTGGTTCCGCCGATGTTCTGTTATTACCTCCAGAATGCTCTCCACCTTACTACCCAGAAACTTCGATGCGATTTCTTGCATAACTCCGCCGGAGCAATGCAGATACGGCACCATGTACTGGAACGAAGACCAGCCGTCGTCCGCAGCGACGACCAGCTTCAGCTTCCGCAGCTTCGGACGTCGCCTGAGGATGCCACGTAGTGTATCCCACTCCTGTTTCTGGAGGTGTGATGCAAGGGCATGTGCAAAGGTGGCTTCAGGAGCGGCCGCGTCTTCTCCCCAGTATCCCAGCTCTAAAAGCAAGACATTTATAGTGAGTTCGTGGAGGTCAGGCGCTTCCATAGCGCCGAGATCTCGCAGGATATCCTCCCATCCAGAACTTTCGAACGTTGGTGCCTCGGGTGCGGTAGCGGTAATGGAACACGTCATCTCAAGTACGTGCAGAGAGGAAGGATTGGGAAGTGGGGGTGGTGCGTTGCTAGGCATGTAGGCCAGTGACTCGAGTGCCGGAGCAGAACGCAATAGAGTTTCCAGTCCTTCCTCAAGATATTGACAGGCCGTCACTCCTCGAAGCGCATCCATGTCTATCTGCCCAGGTAAGCGGCGGAGCACCTGTGAAATAAACCTAGGAAAGGCGATTTCAAGACGGTTCACAGCGGTGGTAGGAAAACGTCGGTGGATTTGTGATGAGAACGAGGACGTGTCAAGATCTTCATCGGCGCTGCAGCATGACAAAACGACGGTATCGATGCGATCGAAAGTGGAAATAATGGTATATATGGCCTTTTCGTCAAACAAGAGCTGTCCAACGATTTCGAGCTTTCTGAGGCTGGCGGGTGCCAGTGGGATTTGAGGAGGTGGCCCGACAATTACATGTCCGAGTCCGGGGTCAAGATCCCAGATCGCCAGGGTATGCAGGGAGGGTAACAGGTTAGGGAGAGCAAAAAGAAGTGTAAGGGGTATCGGCTCAGATTCGCGCTTGCCTATAAGGTTCCCAGTTGGGCAGCGAAGACCGGTCATCTTGAGGCGACGAATAGTGTGGCGGATGCGGGGAGAAGACAACAGGAGGTTATAACAGTCTGTAAAAGATGACATGTGACGTGGGCATTCGCATGTGTTGTAATCGCCCACGGGTAGCCAATATATGCCGCATGCAGGCCAAGAGAAATGCGAGAAGAGATGTCGCGTGCTAGAGGGCTCCCAAGCCTTGCAAACCAAGGAGCACTGACGCAGGGTTTGCGGGTCATCATTTAGATAGTCGATGACGATATCGGAAAGCTCTGGAGGGATTCTACAAACAGATTCCTGTGTCATGGAGCTCACGGGTTAAGACACTTGAGCCTGCCTACGCCTGCCGATCGACCTCCTTGGGCCAGATTAAGTATGGCTTGGGGAGAATCTGTAGTCACGAAGAAGTGCCTAAATCAGTACACCAATTCGATACGCTGAGGAACAAAGAATTGCCCTACTGTGAGGTTCTGGCTGGTAGTAATGGTAAAAAAAGAGCCTCGCATAGGTGGCTCAAGTAATACTTACCGCCCGGGGCCGTACCGCCACGGTCAAGGCGCGCGCGCATCATGATAATGGCGCCGGCACCGGTCGACACATCGGACGCAATTTTGCCTCAGGAGTCAGCTATTTGTCCGACACGTATCCATAACGAGATACGCGCATTCTGGAATAGGTTTTCTCCTGCAATCCTCCAGGTGCTGCAGGCGTCGTGCGACAGACACCAGCTGCAGCGAGGCCATGAGGTATGCGTGCATGTCTGGCTTGACGGCGTTCACCGCCGCGCATTCACGGATCTGCTCGCCGGCTTTGCTCGCACCTCTCGCTTGGTTAACGAGACCGGTATCCCTCACAACGAAGCCAGCCGCAGAGTACGAGTCACTTGAGCGCAGTGACCAAGTAGGCGTCATCATTTACAGTATCAGTGCACCCTGTACCAATCTAAACATCGATAGTTACCAGTTGCCTCGGCCATTGGGTGCGAGGTAGACTTGGAGGAAACAGTGAAGATAAACTTGAAGGACAGCTGAGAACAAATGTTCAGATATACAGCGTATGTATGGCTCCGTTTCACTGCATCGTATGACCTCACCCTGTGTGGGCTCTCCCGGTGCACCTGTTGGTGTATGAACTTTCCATGACACCCGTAATATCTTAGATGTTCTTATTGCCCGCGAAGTCTATATTATAGATACACGCAGTTAACTTTTAAGCATCTCGTCCTCCTTTTCCTCTGACACCGCATCCACATCCGCCTGTTCCGACGCCATAATCTTGGCCACCGGTCCGTCATACACGCGGTGTGCATGTGAGACATAGGTCACCGCCGCGAGGATCATAATGGCGCCAAAGATGACGATGGCCCAGTTCATGCCCGCGGGAGTGACATGCTTCATGGCCGGCCAGAACGACCAGAAGAACGACCAGAGCGAGTAAGCAAGCGCGACGCCGTTCACGAGCACGCCGTACTCGCCGAAACTGCCGCCGCGCCCCTCCGGGCCGTCCTCAAAAAAGGTCCACCGGGTGCGCACGAGAGGTTCACCGCGCAGGCGCTTCAGCAAAACACACGCGATACTGATGCTGTACGTTGCCATGAGCGCGACGACGCCGACGCTGAGGAAGGCATTGAACGCGGCGGTCGAGCCGATGTTGATGAGGCTTAGGATGGTCGTGAAGACGACGTTGAGGATGATCGCGTTTGCGGGGACTTTGTACTTCGGATGTACGGCGCCGATGTACGACGAGAACGGCAGGCCGTTGTCCCGCGCAAACGCGAACGTCTGGCGCGACGTGCTCGCCTGCGCGGACGCGCCGATAATGGTGAGGAGCACGAGGGTGATGAAAGTGAGGCCAAGCGCGCCCGCGGGCGTAGGCGTCATCCTGCTGTACATGTCGATGACCGGAAAGCCCGTCGCGCTGTCGATCGCAGATGCGGTGTCGCCCAGGCAGAAGCAGAAGGTGACGAGCACGATGAGCGTCGGCGGGACGTTGGCGAGGAAGCTCCACCACATCGAGCGCGGGACGACCTTGCTGGCGTCTTGGATCTCTTCGGCCATGTGTGCCGCCGCGTCGGATCCCACGAGCGTAAACATCGCGGTGACCTGACCGACGAGTGTTGCAACAGCAGGCCCCCAGCCGGTCCCATTGTCCTGGAAATCCAGCAGCGCCGTCCGAGCAGACTGCTTTGCGGGAGCCAGTGCCCACATTGCGGCAACAAGAGGGATAAAGACGATGAAATGCAGGATCGCAAACATGCCCTCTAGTATGGCGAGCCACCGAACAGCGTATATATTGAATGCGCCTGTGAAAGCAGGTTAGCCCTATCCCACTGAAAATGCCGCTTATATCGTTGAAGACTTACCTATACAAACCGCGAAGCAGATACTGATAAGGGTCGTGTGCCACCGTTCGGGGACGTAATTGGGGCCATTCAGGACAATCATCGCCTGTACAACCTGCGCACAGAGGAAGCAGTTGACGGTCACCTGCGCCTGCCAGGAGAGTGTGCTCAGCCACCCCGAAGTGTAGCTCAGGATTTTCTGATGCTTGCGAGGCGCAAACTCGGAGACCTGCAGCGAAGTCAGTATTTGGACCATCTCGGTGATGATAGATTCGTACCCAATGATATTGTCCGCCGGCCGTGGGCGCCATGCTCGACATCTCGGCGAGTGACAGGACGATGAACGCCTGCCCGATGTAACCCCAGATGGTGGACCAGAAGAGGCCGGCTGTACCGCCTGCGATGAGTGCGGGGGTCGAGGTAGTGAGGATGAGCTCCCAGGTGCCCATTACGCAGGACGTGAACGCGATGGAAGTGACGAAGCGGAAGCTGCGGGAGAACTCCTGTTTCTTGCCCATACGCTGCATGTCTCGCTGGTCGTTGGCATTGACGTGAGCGACAGTGTCTGAGAGGTCGTTAGCCTCAATCGTCATGATCGTGCGAAGGTCCTCGTCCACGTCTGACATTGCTGCTAACGTCTGAAAGAGAGTAGAAGGGGGTATCGGCGCAGGCCTTAGGACCTCCAGCAGGCTGCATGGAGCAATTTAAGTGCTTTTTGGGGACGCGAGGTGGCTGTGTTCTTTATCTCACGTTCATGGGGTGTGGCGAATAGAACTCACGCAGTGCCTGAGGAATTTTGAGCAATAAACTGTACGAACGGCATTTCACTGGAAGGGTCGCAGGGTTAAACCATTCCTGGATAGGATTCGCACGTTTAGCTTTGGAGAAGCCGCTAGGTACCAGCTCCTGACCCTGCATGTGTACAAGGTGCGAGGTACCGTATATGTGGCATCAATATGTGGCTGAACGGTGCGCTGATAAGGACTCACTTCGCGGCCAATCGATTGCTCGGCATCTTGGATGAGTACTTGACAGAGGAGTCCGTCTGCCTATGGTCGCCTCGGGCAGTGGCCGCGAGGCATATTCTGTGGGGCAGATAGTACCCGTGAGCCACGGCCGTATCGTACAGAAAGATCAAACTGTCATCCTTCGTGGCGTAACGCTACCGGCCCTGTCAATAGAACGGGAACAAACGCACAAAGTCGGAGCGCTGCGCGTATAGGAGGACGATGTACACTCTAAAGCAGAACGTGCGGCAGAGCGACACTTGTGCGGAATACATTAAACAGATGCGCTGTGGATGTGCCATTGAGTAGGACACTGCACAGATAGGAATAATGATCAGCAGTTCCCCCGTTCAGGACGGCTCTTCTATCGCGTGTGCATCTGCCTATCTGTCGCTTCGTAGCACACGACCTTGGGTCTGAGTGTCAAGTGCCAAGCCCCTGTCACCCAAGAGGACCCGGAACGGAGCGGTCCACCTTCACGCGTGTGGCGGCTGCCAGGTGTCCGCTTAGCTCCCGCGACAAGCTCAACATGCCGTTAGCTGTGGCTGGACGCTTACTCAAAGCGCGAAACAGAGTGGGGCAGCTTCTCACAAGGATCAGATCTCACATTTACTTTGCTTCTCCAGCGAGTCGCCCGGGGTACTGGTGCGGTCGGCTGGGGGTTGTTAACATGTCATCATAAACATGCACTGCAGTGTGGGCACTGGAAGACACCCACGAAGTCGTCGTCAGGGTCGTCATGAGAGCCCCGAGTTGCTTGCTATCCGTTGCGGAAAATTTGAAGGGACATAGCCGCATTTGCGGCTTTCCAGGCCACTTGCGTGAAGGCCTTCCACGACCGATCGTCTCTGGTTGCATGGAGACGTCAGCAGACTGAATACCACTCCATTCAGGCTTCCCACCTGACAGCTTCCAGTCTCTGGCAGGCCGACCATTAACCGACGCCAGACTCTGGACTACGCGTAAGTGGAACTTGCGTCTGGCGTGCCTGATAGATCTTCGAGCGCTGTTGACGGCTTGAGGATATCTCCGCGAGTCTTACGCAAAACCTACTACCTACTCTAAAGAGGGAAAAGGTGGCTCTGTGCATGTTTTAGAGGACGCTTTGTAGGGGGAGCAGGATTGCTCTATATGATACCCTCCACGTCCAACTCGCGCGTCAGACGATGACGGCTAAGGGTGTCATTATCTGCTGCTGTCAGATGAGTCGCCAATCTTTTACGAGATGGCATCCACTTACTCACCTCTGATGGAGTGGCACTACGGGCGGAGGTAAGCCGTGTGGCGTATATAAGCTCATACCATGACCAACGCTCATGAAGTGGCTTGATCAAGCTCCCGTGCCAAGGATTTTGAAAATGATTATATGCGGGAAAAGGTACATACAGTCATGCTCTTGAGTGAATAGAAACAATTATTTGTGCTAGGAAGCCGACAGGAGAAGGAACATCCAACGTTCCAAGGGAAAACTACAGCTCAGCGGTGTCCCGGCCAACAGCTTCCTCAGCCTTCTCTTGCAGCTTCTCAATGATCTCCTCAGCTTCCTCCTCAATAGCCTTGAAGGTCGAGAGGATGTTAGCCTTGATCTTGACCTCATCGAGCTTTTGCGGCGAGAGGTTGCGCTTCTTGAGGATAGACTGCAGGCTATGGCACGGATTTAGTAACGAGCGCTAGAGACTACCTGACAACATCTCGACTCACCGGCCGCTTTCCTTCTCGATGTAATCCTCGGTACCGTTCAAGACTTTCTCCATCACGCGGACGTAGTACTTGTACTGCGGACCAAACGCTCTCGCAAGAAGAGACGCGTCCTCAACGAGCTTGTTCCGCGCGCCGCCCACCGCGGTCGCGAAGCGCGAGGCGAGGCTGTCAAACTCGCTGTGCCTGCCAGCAGCCTCGTCGAGGAGGCCACCAACCGCGCGGTGGGTACCGCAGCGCTCGTTGAGGAACTTGACGAACGCCTCTTCGTTGCGTTCGCCGTCGTAGGTGATGGGCTCGTCCTTGTTGCCCTTGGGGAAGAACTTGATCGTCGGGAAGCTGCTGACACCGTAGCTCTGCGCGAGCGGCTTGTTTGCGGCGGCGTCAGCGTCAACGTTGGCGACGACGCAGTTGGGCTCGTTCTTGAAGGAGAGAGCGACCTGCTCGTAGGCTGGTTTCATACGCTTGCAGTGTCCACACCAGGGAGCAGTGAAGGAGACCAAGACATCCTTTGTCGAATCCTACATAACTGGTTAAAAACAAAGTAGGGTGACGAAGAGTCCAGGAGACATACCAGAGCAACCTCATCAAAAGTGTGAGTATCCAAGACCTGGAATGCAGGGGGCGGTGGGGGCTTAATCTTTGATTTGACACCGGACTTCTCAGTGATACTGCGCCGAGATATGATTAGTAATGTATACTCTATACATGCATGGGTAAATAGCTCACAATGCAGCCAGGTCCAGGACCTCCCGACCGCCGCTGTATGTCTCGGGCTCACCACCGTCCGCAGGGAACCACTTCAATGCTAAGGCCCTGTTAGCTAAGCAGACTTCAGAAGCGACGGGCGTAACGTACTTGGGAAGCCGGTCACTCCATACTTTTGACCGAGGGGCTTGCCGACACCGTCAGCATCCACTTTGGCAACCACGACCTTGTCCTTCGCATACGCGAAAGCGTCCGCGAGCTCCTCGTACTTGGGCGCAAGGTTCTTGCAGTGTCCGCACCATGGTGCAAAGCTGCGTGCAAATAGCTGTCAGCGTGACTTGCCCGGGTCCCTCAAGCACGGTGCTTACAACTCGACGAGCGCAGGCTTGCCCTGTCCAACGACCTCATCGAAGTTGTCCGGGGTGAGGTCGAGAACGTTGGATGCCCAGACGCTGCCGAGCGAGGCGAGCGTCGCAAAGAGTGTAAACGAGAGCTTCATCGTCTCGTCGTCGTCGTTCCCTGTCTGTGTGTGCGAGAGAGAACGAGGGTGTGTGGAAGAGGCGTTGGGAAAGCGGTACCGTGCTTATGAGGGCACGACGTGGAGGTTTCGTTCTGGCCGATCAGAGCGCCACGTGGACTGGGCGCTTCTTACTCTAATTGCCGGCCCTTGCTTCTCACCGGGCTTCGTAAGAATTTCTTTCTCTCTGACTGTTTTCGACTTCAACGACGACAAGCGGCACAAACTTGTTCTCTGGCACAACCGTTGTGACTTTGCACGACTGCTCTACGACTGTTCGCTCGATTCGCAGTGTCTGCCTACTCAGCGGACAGACTGTATCTTCGCCTCTCCGCTGCGCCCTAGACAACAGGCAAATCACCGCATTTGCATTGGTAAAACACACGCTGTGATACAGAAATTTTGGGCGTCGCCCTTCCTGCCTCCAACCATCCATTTCTCTCGACTTCAATCTCCCAACGGGTACGGGTGCAGGATCTGGCCGAAGTACAACTCCGCTTCTGCGCTCGCAAGGAAGACGTACGTGGGAGCAATCTCTGATGGTTGTCCGGGCCTGCCGAGCTGCGATTGCTCTCCCCAACCCTCCATCTGCTCAGGCGGTCGGGACGACGGCTGGAGGGGCGTGTGAACAGGACCGGGGGCGACTGCGTTAACCCTCTGTGAACGCACGCAGACATCGGTGGGTGGCAGTACATCCGACACGTCAGCGGTTACTCACGATACCCTTGGGAATAAGCTGCTTGGCCAATGCGCGTGTGAAGCCGACGATGGCGCCCTTCGTGGCCGTGTAGTCCACCATCGCGGGGCTGCCCTTGAAGGTCGTTACGGACGTCGTGTTAATGATCGACGCGCCCTTGCCCATGTGCGGCAGCGCGAACTTGGTGATCGCGAACATTTGCAGGATGTTGCTCCGGAACGTGCTCTCGACAATGTCAAGGTTGATGTTCGCAAAGTCCTTTTCCATCGTCTGCTTGCTCGCGTTGTTCACGAGGATGTCAAGCTTGCCGAACTTCTGAATGTGCGTGTCGATCACCTCGTTCGCGTTTTTGAAGTTCTCGAGGTCAAAGGCAATCGAGAGACCCTCACGGCCCTCCTTCCGTATGTGTTCGACGGTGTCGTCCGCGTCCTTCTGCTCCTGTGGCAAATGCACAATCGTTACGTCGGCACCTTCTCGCGCGAACAGGATCGCGACGGCGCGACCAATTCCCGAACTGCAGACCATACATCAGTAAGGTTCTCATCAATGGCCATGTTGTATACATACTCCCCACCAGTAATCAAGGCCTTCTTTCCTCTTAGCTTTCCTATGCCAATGTATTGCTTTGGACCGCCGGCCGTCTCGAGTGAAGTATCGAATGGCTCAGGCGCCATGTCCTTCTGGAGACCTGGCAGCTCCTGCTGCTGCTTCGGGAGATGCTGCTTCAGAGTGGGGCCCTCGTGTGGCGCAGACATTCTGACGAGTGCTGAGGTTGAGAATCGATGTGAGTGTGTGGTGAGCTGTCGACGAGTAGCTGTCGATACGAAAGGCGGCGGGTATCGTTGAAGTAGGCGGAGGAGCATCTCGGGCGTGCTCTTATACGGCTGAAGCCTGGCCCATGATAAATACTGTACGTGGCGCGGCTCCAAGGGCGAGCCTCGCTCGAGTGTGCCACTGCCTAGTGGAGGCACGACGAAAACGTTGACGTCACCCATTGGGGACTCCTTCGCTCAGATTCCTCAGACGAGAGTCAGACCGTATCCTTGTAGAATAAGCGCCCAATAAGCGAGATAACATTTAGATAGGTAGCAGCCACACCCGACAATGCCATTAAGGTCAACTTCGATTCTCCTCCAGCAGCATACTTGAGGCGTGTGTGGTTACCCACCGCCGTACCCAGCTCGCTCGTTGCCATTGGTGGTGGCGTTCTCTTCTCGCTCATGGATACTGGCGAGCTTCGAAGGGGATCGTTAATCAGGTACCGTGCATATAGTATCACGCGACAAGCCGGTGTGTTCTCACTTCTCGTTCTGCATTGCATTGCTGTCAGTTCGTTGGATCTGAGAGCCCGGTTAGCCCGCGCTGGGGCTCACGGCTGCCCTGCTGATGAAGTATCATCTACACGCATGAACACAGGCGAGTTTCCCATCATCTGAATTTCAAACAGAGGCCTCATCTCGTTGAAGATGTGGTCGAGTCAACGCGCGGTTCGGTATGCGATAGCTCTGCAGTTTGCTGCCTGCGAGATACAAACCAGTTATTGCCGATTGGCTGACAGGCGCGGCCGACGAGCTAACCTAGGCCTGGTTTTCAACCACGCAGTTTCGCGATTTGTGAACTAACGGTTGGACATCGAGTGGTCTCGAGGCAGTGGATACCATCTGTGAGTATAGCCCAGATCGTTACTATCCTGCACTCTAGCTTCCTTCTCAAGTGAGGCCGCAACCTCTGATATCAAGATATTCAAGTGGCATACAAATGGACGCGATGGAGTACAACACACCCATTCTCACTGCAAGTCTCTTACTCTTTACAATGTCCCAAATCCTACCTACCACCGCGTATCTCCTCTTGATGGTGGTAGAAACGCTAATCTACGGTGCGCCAGTGACTCCTTGGAGTTTTGTGAACGCTGAATCTCAGGTATGCTTAGGCATGTATATCGTGCTGTTCATTCTGTCGATGTATTTCCTGGTGGGTGGCGGCAGGAACCGGAAGCTGAGGGGTGCTCGAGCGAATATGTCGACAATCCTTACCATCATTGTCAATGTCCTTCTCCTTGTCATCATTACTGCTGTAAGCATCGCAGGAATGGCCGTGTCTTGTCCGCACTGACATGGATATTAGCATTGGGTCATCGCAATCGTCGAGGGCTTTGGAGGTTTTACCGGTCAGACTAGCAGCGAACCAGAGGGCCGACTTCTATACTTCTCGGCAGTTTCTGGCAATTGGCAGGCGATCACTCTTCTGGCTCTATATCTAGCCGGAACAGCTGTAGCCGACTACGTAATGGTATGCTCCTATATCTGTAAGCTCCTGCAGTAATATCATCTCTACACATAGGTATATCGGCTTTTTGCAGTGTGGCAACGGAAGTGGCCGGTTGTGACGCTACCTATCTGCTTGTACCTCTCTGTCTTAGGTACGATGCTAAGTCAATTCGTGAAACATCCATTGACTCATCGACGTTTCAGTCAATGGAGCAATGTTCATTTACAACTTTCACAAGTTGACCTCAGATGAAGACATCTTCAAGTCCTCCTTTGGTATGATTTCGTATGCGGCTGGGCACTTTAAGATGGTATTGAGCGAATGCATAGCACCTTGGCTTGCCTCTACCCTGACATGCTCTGCTGCGTACGTCTCATTATATTAATGCCTCCGCAGATACGGATTTAGTACTAACATAGTACCAGCACAAACGTATACTGCTCAAGTGCGTCCTCTTTGTGAAAGGTGAACTCGGAATCATAGACAACTAATCTGCCTATAGCGTTGTTGTCATACAAGGTCTGGAGCGCGCAGCGAGCACTGAGACGTGCTCGGACGACGCAATTGCGTTCTGCAGTAGCTTCGGTGTGTATAAAAAAATTGTCCTTCACTACCCCTCAGCTCTTGAGCTGACTACACGCACTACAGAAAATCCTGGCTATCATTATCGAGAGCGCCTCACTATTCACGTATGCCTCTGCCATTCATATCTATAGTCGAGTTGACGATGTTATCCATACCAGTGCATCGAGTATAATCATCACAACAACCTACTTCTGTCACTCTTATGCAGCGTTTACATGCGTGTGTATTGTACGTTTTCGCCACTGGTACCCTACAACGACTTGCGCTGACCTGTCGACAGGCCCCTCCGCTCATTGGCCTCGCCTATTGCCTCGTCATCGTCCGTTTCGGTATACATGGAGCCTTCAAGACCGATAACCCGGTGCTGTCCACCATAGAGCTTCCTTCGCTGCAGCCCTCGTATTCAATTTGAAGCACTGTCGTCAAGCGAGTGATCATCGATGAAGATTGAAGACTGCCGGGATAGACAATATTTAATTCTGTGGTTCGCTACAGTGTTGCTATGCTTTAAGTTATCGGAAGGCTGATTGTGTAGCGCATACGTTTGAATATGATCACTGAGGAGATTATTCAATACAGTTTTATGGCCTCCGTACGATCCCTCCGGGAGCTGCCCGGGGCTCAAACCGACTGAGACTAGTATTGTACAGATGTCATATAATTACCCATGCAAGACGTACGGGCGCATGCCGATGTGGTCTTCGATCGACGCAGATGATATTTCTGGGCGAGTGCGATCCAGCACTCGAGTCTCGTTATATCCCAGTTGAGTTCGTGAGAAGTAACATTAGATGAGAGCAACATATGTACAGCAGAGGAATACACAACAGCAGGCATGCAAAACTGGTCGATAGCAATCCTAAAAACCAAGAAAGCAGTACAATGTAGAAATACAATGTGTCCGTGAGTGATTCAGAAGTTAGGTTCCTTGAGAACCTGGAATGACTGCCTGTGGACGAGCAGCGGGGTCACGTCCACACATCCTTTCAACAGTGTCTTTGAACGTGTCCTCCCACTTCTCCTCGACCTTCAGCGCGCCCGCGGAGTGCGGCCCAAACCCAATGCAGGTCACGTTGTGCAGGAGGAGCTGCAGCTTCTCGTACCCACCGGAGATGACGACCGTGATGGCACCGGTGTTGCCTTTCTGGAGCTGCTCGCGCTCGAGGTCGCGCTTCTTCTTCGGGAACTCGTACCTGTCGCCGCCCATCTTCGACGAGGCAAACTCGGTCGGCACAGGCAAGACATGCATGACATGCCAGCGTTGCCACGGCTTCGAGTCCTCAGGAATGACCTTAACGCGCTCGAGGACGACCCAGACGACACACTGCTGCCAGGTCTTGCCCAGACGCGTGAGCTCGAGGGCGTTGAACGCCGCCTGGAAGATCGCAGCTGTGAACTTGGCGGTGAACGAGCGCAGATCGGCGAGGATGTCGCTTGGTGTGACGATAGGTGCATCGGGCGCACTCTGTCCAATTATGGCCTCCCCATCGTACCGCTCCGTGATTTCTTTGGTGGTCTGTCGGTTTCGAAGGCAGATGGGCTTGTGAGTGGGCCAGTGTGCCTTCTGGCAGTCTGTACTCTAGGAAGTCCAGAAGTAAAACAGAGATTAAGTCAATGACATGATCCAGAGCAATAGAATAGGTCACTGACGCAGTACATAGAGATCTTGCAGCCTGTGCACACTGACAGCCTGATTTTGTGCTGGTCCTTATTCCTCCTGCCTGCAATACTGTAAGTAAAGTATCGTTATGAGTGCAGCAAAGGGCGCACAATTCTGGCATTGCGAGAACTCTCGCCTGGCGGAACGAGATTCGACGTCCAGAGGGCGTGTCTGAGGGACCTCCATGCCAAGGCTCTACGCGTCCCACTAGTCACAAGAACAGAACGACTCTAGCTGCAGAGGGTACGTTCGTGTAACAAGCAGTACGAAAAGCTGAGGATCCTTGGTATATACCGTCGTGGCGGGGTTGCAGGTGTGCCGGTCACTGATCTGGTAGGTGCTTCCCACGCTTGTGATGGCGCAGTTGCGTCGCCGCTCGACTGTGGACGCCGTCGTTCTCATAGCCAACGACATACACGACTCACCATGTCCCTCCCCCGCTCGAACTACGACCCCAGGCGGGTATGTCTCAGCCCGTTTCCCAACTGGACGCTGGGCAAACATAAGCGTACGATGGGCATCTATCTCGCGGGTGGGCTGGTGCGTCTCCGCTTTACTGCCCCGCATTGCATTCAAGCCTGACCGTACCTCCTCGTCGCTGCAGTTTGCGCTGGCCAACTGGACATTCCTCGACGCCGCTATCCTCTCCGCGCATGCACATTCGCCGTATGGCGAGCCGCAGGTGCCTCCGCCGGTGCACGTCTCCTTCGTTGACTGGGTCCCGGGCATCTCGTCCTTGCTCGGCATGCTCGTCGTTAACCTCATAGATAAGGACCGTGTGCGCGGAGACGAGGGCTTCGGCGATGCACGCGCGGTCTGGCGGGCACGTCTCATCCTCTTCATTGGTTTCGCTTTGATGGCGGGTGGTCTGGCGGGCAGCGTGGTACGTCATGTGCCGGTCTTGTCGTTGTCCACCTATGACTGATGGCCGTGCCGCGGCTACAGGTCGTTCTGGTCCTGAAATATGTCCTGCAAGACTATCCCGAACAATACCAATACTATGGCTACGCCAATGTCTCCCAGAACGTTGCTCTGATGCTATCCTCGGTTGTGCTTTGGATGTCGCAAAGCGTCAGCAGCGAGTACGAATACAACCTCTCTATCTGATTACCCCCCGTCCTTTGAAACCACCATCCCGTTTCGGTGATACGCTCGACCTCCAGTCCAACGTCAAGACTGGAGCCAAGTTTGCCGCTCGTGTTAATCACTGTACCCGCTCGGTCCTTGGAATATAGCCTTTGCTACGAGGTTGCCAGTATATGTAATTCGTTTAGGGTTTATCCCTGACTCTTGAGGCTGACGTCAAACCCCGTTATTACGCAAAGCTTGCCTTCAACTTGCACAGGTATATCATTCCAGCGGCATCTTCTGTGGTTCTTGCGGTCGTACCTGTGACTCTAGACGTGTTCGCGAAGATTTCTCGTCAACGCTCCCAACTTGCCAAGGGTCCTCTGTCGCGTGAGCCTTGCTCGGCGCGTCTCCTTGTGCTTCGATCGACGTATTGGGGCCCGGGGACATCCCAGAGGACCCTTTCCGTATACCTCGCCGGTCGTCCTCTGAACATCCGGACCATGTGGTTAAGCATCGCAAGAAGTTACTGACCTTGTGCGAACACGGCAGGATCTACCCTCGCTCCATCATCCGTCCACGGTGCTTGCACCGCCCGAGGCCCGTGGAGGAGCCCATCAGCAAGCAACCCGACTGACTGACCGGGGCTGATCTGTATGGGAGCTGCAGGGCGGCGCGTGAGACGTCCGAATTCTGTGTTCGCTTTGTGAAAAGAGGCCTGTCCGGGGGTCTTTCTGAGATCGGATCCGCGCCGGTGGGAGTGTGGTCTGTTGGTGCACTGTAAACTTAAGCGTACCTTGCTAGAGTCGTCGGCCGACGATGGTACTGAACAAGATGTCTTAAGGAAAGGCTGGTCGTGATCGACATGCGCAGATGAACCTTTCCTGCGGCTGACGGTCGCATAGTGGCGGACAAACAAGGGAATACACAGAGATCGTCGCGTTTCTCACGTGATCGACGCTGTCTTCGAACTTCGAAGTTTGTCGTGGTGGTGGTAAATCCCACTTGCAGGCTGACCAGCATCAGCCCACGGCCCTCACTATCGACAAGCAAACATCTTCAGAACGTTTCTCGCCACAGGAAGATGACATGGAGATAATACTTCTATTAGAAGTAGATAACAAGCACAAGCGAGAATTACACAGGTATAACGTACGGTGGTATGCTACACAGGGGGGTAACGAGGCGAGATACGGCTACAAGTATGTCTGGGAATCAAAACAATCCGTCAAATGCGCAGGTCGTTGCAGCAATCGTGAATGGAAAGAAGGAACAACAACACAGAGCGAACAGCGATGAAGAAATAACAGGTATCACCCAAGACGGATGAGTGGTCAAGTCCGGGGTCGTATCAGGGTTCGTCTAGTACTGAGAGATCTCGACAGGATGGTGGTGGTACTGCATCTCGTCCTGGTACTGGAAGCCGTCCGCCTCCAAGCCACAGGGTGGTGCACCGCCGCCGGCGTAGTGCTGCTCGACGCCGTATACCGCGTACTCGTTCATCGCGACGCGCGGGTCGCCGTACTCAGCCGCCTGGGCGTACGCGAGTCCGTCGTGGCCCGCGACGGCGACGTCCTGCGACGCCCACGAGAGCTGCTCTGCCTGCACGGCGGCGTACATGCCCATGCCCATGTCCTGGTGCGCGTCGAAGTTGTGCGCTGGCGGGGGTGACACCGAGAAGCCGGAGGGCGACGCGGACGGCGTGAGCTCCTCTTGGTGCGGCATCCACGGCATGCCGTTCACGGGCGTGATGGCCGAGAACGGGTACGTGGACGACGTCGTGGTCGAGGAGGGAGAGAGCGTGTCCGAAAGCGGGTCCACGGAGCCTCCGTCGAGAGGGCCGATGCTGAGAGCGAGCGAGGTGTTCGCGCCAGGGTCGCCCTGGATGAGATGGTGATAGTAAGTCCCGGCATATGCGGCAGTCCGTGTTCTACTCACGAAAATTGCGCTGTCCTGGGCGCCGCCGAAGCCAGACACTGAGAACCCTGGGTTGAAGAACGCCGTGTTGACATCAGGAAGCGGATCGTTGTCGGGCTGCAGGTTCTCGAAGGTCACCGGTGCCCCGGACATGGCCATGCCAGAGGCCCAGTCCATGTAGTACGACGGACCAGCACTCGATGGCCGCCTGATGTCCCGATAGCCCGCAATGTTGCGAACGGGAGTATCGGCCCGAGACGAAGGATGACTGGGGAAGTAATCCTGCAAGGTCGGGACCGCGATCGGCATGTGGAAGGCTCCCGGCGGAGCTGACGACGAGCGACGGTGCTGCTGGAACATCGGGTACATCGGCGCGGGCATCGCGAGCTGGGGATACGGAGCAGGCATAGGGCTGGCCGAGGCCGACGAAGGTTGCTGACGGTCGAGGTCTAGCCGCCGAACTGCGGCAAGGAGCTCGTCGCCCTTCTTGCCCTCAAGGAGCAGCTGGGCAACCTCCTCGCAGCGCCGCTCTTCGGGCTCGTCGAGGGTCACCTTTCCCTTCTTCTGCTTGCTCTTGTTCTTGTTGTGCACCGGCCGGAAGCGATAGTTGGGGTACATCTCCTTGTGCTCCGCCTTCGCCTTCTTGGCACGCGCTTCCCACACTTTCTTCTCCGCCTCTGGCAGGGCTTTCCAGCAGTTGCCTGCAGATCGGTCAGTCGTCGCATTCGAAGACAGTGGGCACAAGCTGCATACCGATGATTTTGGACAGCGAACCGTGGTTGGTCTCGATCGAGCCCGGGACGTGCTTTTGGCGGACGAAGTTTGCGCGGAAGAGCATGAAGGCGTTTGGCGGGCGTGGGATGTAGCCCTGGGAACGGCGCTTGCCTGGCGGCTGCCTTCGACGCGTCGGGGCGGCGGCGTTCAGAGCATCGGCAGGAGGGAAGAGAGCGTCTGAGGGCGAGGGGACCTCCGTTGCATAGTCTTCTGCTCCCTCCGTTTCCTCGACGAAGGTGCCGGGGGTGACGTTTGGAGCAAAGGTGACGTTGCGGGGTGATGTCGTGATTCCGTAGTTGCCTGGCTTGATGGAGCTGAGACTGGCAGCTGCGAGGGCGATGAACGACGGCAAGACTAAAGGGACGAAGGGGGGCTTACCGACACCGAGCGAGGACCTCCTGCGGCGCTGGAGCGAACGAGAAACGGGCATGTTTGTCTAAGGATACAGTTGAGACGATATTAAGAGCTGATGTGAGAGTAAAGGCGTGTTCTGTCTAGCGTATGGCAAGAACCAAGGCGTTGCTCCCGATTGAGAAACAAGAAGGGGAGGAGGGAGGGGACGAACAATAAGCTATCTGTTTCCGTGCTTTATACCCAGCTGTGACTTCCGGGAGACTGACCGCGTCCCTGAGATTGCCATCTGAATTCCAAGAGATGGTTGATTCGTTCGAGCCTGCGCACCCGCGCCACTGACCCCAGACACCCATCAGCCGCTCTCTTTATCGCCGACGTCCCCATCGCGTGCGACCCAGGCGGCGAGTCAGACAGCCCTCCGCGAGCCACTGACCATGGCGTTTGACAACTGTTCATCGTCTTCGCCACCCCCGCCCGATCGCTGCTCACCGCTGCTCCCACTTGCGCGCCACAAAGGGTCTCCTCCGTCTTCGCGGGCCTCCGCCAGACGCAGCGGACGACGGCCAGGCCGCCCAGCCCCGTCGCACCCAAACCCGCCTGCGCGGTGCCACGGGTCCCCGGAATTTCGCCATCAGACAGTCCGTGGACGAATCGGTGCGCTGCCTTGTGCACGAAACCGGCTAGTTGCTTGTTCCTTCCCACAAATAGGGCTCCTTCATCTCCGTTTCGCTCGAACGAACTTACGTCCTCGCCGCAGGCAAACCCGACACTCCGACCTCGATCTTCTGCTTAGGGTGTGCGCAAGCGAGCTCACGCGCGTCGCTGTCGCTGCTCCGCCGGGGCTCTCTTGGGCTTCTTAATTTTCGAGAGACGGTAGAGCCAGCCTCGCGGGAAATTTGTCCTCGAGTTCGGGGCACGTTGCCTGGCGGCGCTTCTTGCGGCCGGACGTGACACGCTGGGTGATTCAGTTCATCGGCCAACAGCTGGGCGCGTCCGCGATGCGCCTCGCCATGCATGTTGACTGGCCCCCCACACACGCAACCCACGGACGTAACGCGGCGGAACCACGTGTGCCGCGCTCACCGGGACGGATAACGTGTCGCGGGTGCGTCCGGGGCGAGACCTTTTGCCCACATACCTTTCGCTGGTCGTCCTTGTCTGCGAAAGGCAAGCTCGGGTCGAGAATAATTCCCCGCCGGGGCCATGGCTGCATTCCCTCCCCCTTTGCTGGTACGATTGTCGGCGGCGAAACTCTATTCGCTGGATTCCTTCCCGTTGGTATGGTGACATACGGACTTTCGCATGACGACGCAGGGGCACGTTTCACTCTATCGTTCGAAGCCTCCTCGTTCGCGTCCCTTGTACTGCTAAAATACCGCAATATCGAAAGCTCGCGTTCTCGGAGCGGCTCAGCCGCCTCAGAAGTGAGGTTCGATCACTCGGTAACGCAAGGGTCCGCATGTGATCTCCCATCGTTTCCTTGGGCGCACCGCCTGCTGTCATCTACCGGTGTTTCTCATTCGCCACAGTCTTGTTCCCCTCTGGTGAGCATCCGAGCATTCTGACACGTATGTATTGGGTACCTAATTCGAGTCGTCACCGACTTGATAGGCTTGGACAGGTGATCATCTTCAGGAACCCGCAATAAAGCACAGCACAAGTAGTGCGCACGGTGTACAAGAGTCTGGGGTGTTCAGCCTGGCTGTAGGCATCTCCTGCTCTTACCTGTGCCTGCTAGCGTCCCGCATTCTGAGGACGATCGGAGTCTCGACAAGTGGAGAAAACGGCCTTTCGGAGCTGCTAGTGGTGCGCGGCCAGAAGAGGGGGTTCCATTATACCGGCTATCAGTTGCTGCCTCTACAGAACTTCTGAGTATCACTGCGGGCTGTACTTTCTGGCCATGCTTGCCCTTTGATGGAATGGAAAGACTGGGATGGGTGAGAATCGGGCTGCGGGGGCGAAGCAAGGCAAGTTGCGGACCGTGTTTGGTGGCATGCTGTACTTTGAGATCGTTATATCTGAGAATACTGTCCGCCGCCATCTTCCGGTTCTTCTTGGCCGCCACAGTCGCTTCCTCTCGTGAGTGTCTATGCGGACTGACCTGTGCGCTCCCGGCGCCCAGATCCCGAAGGTAGTCGGACCTTGGCAGAGCAGAAGAAACAGCATCTCACTGCTGCTCGCGCTGCCGCTTTGCTGGTAATCAGTCACAGACTCAGTATCACCGTGGGATGTATTCCTCATCTTACGTGTGATATATTTACCCCCTTGATGTAATACGACTGCGTAACTGGCGGGGGAAAGGCAGGTGTCAGCCTTCGTTTTGTAATATGACCTCGCCATGCCCGCGATCGATAGAATCTCAGAATAATCACGGCAGCATGATTATTCGGCGTTTCAACATGTGGACACCGGGTCTTCTTAGTGATGAGACAACTTGAGGTTTCCCCCTGCCCTCAGCGGGCCCTTAGGAGCATATTTCAGCCATAATTTGTGATGCAAGAGCTGCCCCGTATGTTCAGCAACGCCACAGCCGAGCAGTTCCACGTGCACCGACTGGGGCGCCAAACGCCACAAAGAGGCGGCCTGCCGGATTAAGGCGTCTCGGCCCACGCGTGGCTCCCGATAAGGCAGAAACACATCTCCTCTCGACGCCCACGTCACTTGTGCGGCCATGTCAGTGACAACCCTCGAGATCTCGGTACCAGACAGGGAGCGGGTCATCAAGGCCGCGATCCAAGGCAGGTCGATTGCTGCGAGGCCTGAAGCCATGTCTGACGTGCTCGCGCAGCCAAGGAGTATGCGTACTCCCGCTACTCCAAGTTCCGTGTAGGGGCGGCCCTGCTATCCGTTGATGGCCAGGTCATCAAGGGCTGCAACGTCGAGAACGCGTCTTATGGTGTGTCCACCCGTTCCCCGTCGTGAAGAACCGAGGCTGTGTCTGCACCCTCCGATATCCCATGGCAGCGAATCTTCCTTCTTACGGCCGGATGCTCATGACCGACGTGCCATCAGGTGGAACAATCTGCGCAGAGCGCACCGCATTCGTCAAAGCCGTCGTAAGTCTCGCCGTTTCCCACCCACGTCCGGTGCCGCATGGTTAACCTGCGCTCCATCAGAGCGAAGGTGTCACATCGTTCACGGCCCTCGCTGTGACCTCGTATGCCTGATTTTGCATTTCCGCCTGCTGCGTGTCCTGATTGCTGTCGTCCATCAGAGATGTCAGGGCCCCGCTCTCCCCGTGTGGCCTTTGCAGGCAGGTCATCCGCGAGTTTTGCGCGCAGAAGATGCCCATCTTCCTGGTACCCGCGGACTACGAGGCTCGCGTAGCGAAAGGGGAAACGGATGGCGGTATTAAGGAGACAAGCATCGAAGAGCTGCTTCCCCACAGCTTCGGGCCGGAGGACCTCGAGTTGCCCAGGGTGCCCGCATGAATCCGGGCGAGATTCTGATGTACACTCATTGCTTATACCTGAGACTTACATGATGCATACTCATGACCAAGAATTTATGTATCAAATGGCCAGATCGCAGACGTTTGTCCCATTTCCTCTTTTCCGGCGTCGAATCAACGAGAAGTTGTAGCGTGCGACTCGTGTGCGAGAAAGGCAAGAGCAGACCGGAGAGCAGCCTACTGCCGCTAAGGATTTTTTGGCGGCTATTATGTTTGCTCTACTAGTCTAGTACTGCAGGTCGGACTCATCGTGCATGAGAACGTGAGGACTACCCTCAGAGAAACGAGATATGATACGAGGCGCCGACTACGCTACAACACATAACTCATAGGATGAACGTCCTTTCAGGTTCTAAACCCGAAATTTTCCGCTCGTTCGGCAGCGGCAAAGGGACCAAAGAACCCTAACCCGAGTTTACTTTGGCTGGGGCCTTGCACAATGGTATTATCCTCTCTATCTTGCACAATAAGCTACTGTAGCAATTTATTTGCATCCTATTGTGAGTCAGAAATGATGTACAGCCGAGCCAGAGGGCACTACAAATATATTTTGATTTGTTTCCGCGTCCCCCCCCCCCCCCATGCACGGAAAGACTCTCAATGGCTCATAAAATTGTAAATATATGCCTATATAAATATTCAAACGACGCTATCAATTGATCTATATCATTTGAATGCACTTTCTTCTTGCCCGGCGCGCGGATTTGGCCGGTTCACAGTGCGGGAGGGCGCGCTTGGGCGCCCTCGCTTTCTCCGGATGTCACGTGATCGTTTTGACCCTAATCTGAATGTTATCCCGACGGGACGACAAGGATGATCGTCTGACCGCGGGCTCTTTACTCTTCCTTCCTCACCCACTGCGATTATGCATCGAATATCACAGCAAATACGCACTGCCTCGACGTCTGCCCACCCGTTTCCATGGCCGTCGCACTCTCGTCCAACGCCGTGGCAGATCTTCCACCTCTCGCCAGGCGCAAGCCAGGGGGATATAAAGTCCAGATGTACGCATGCCGTGCTGCCGCCATCCACGGACTCCGACGTGGATGTGCGCGCCCGAGAGCTGTCCGTGTGCTGACCCCGTTCGCGGCCTGAAGACTACGAGCTCGTGCGTCTGCACCACCCCGACTCGCCGCGATGCCGGGACGTGCCCGCGTCGGTGCGCCATGCGCGCTTCCAGTCCGTCGCCACCGCCTACGACGTGCTCCGCGGGAGGCGGCTGTCGATGCAGCTGGGCCCTGGCCGGACGGGGGACCCCGCGATGGAGGAGCTGCTGCGCAGGCGGCGGTACCAGCAGATGCGGAATGCGGCCTGGCACGACCCCTGGGAGCAGAGCCCTGGCTATGGTGGCGCGGCCCGGCATAGCTGGCATGCTAGCAGCGCGGACGATGAATGGAAGGACAGAGTGATCGTATGCGTTGGGCTACTCGTGCGTCTGCTACCTTTGAGTGGTTGCTGAACTTGCTGAAGCGTGGGCAGTCGTTGGGGCTCAGCCTTGCACCCGTAGTGATATGGGGTCCATTAGGGGGACACACAGATAGAGTACACCTCTCTGCCGCTGCTAACCTTGCTCAAGCGCGACGAGAAGCAAGGGAGTTTGGTGAGGAGCGGCGTAGAGAAATCAAGAGGAGTGTACGGGAGCATCGTGAAAGGTGTGAGAGGATGAACGAAAGGCACTCACGGCCGCGCGACAGGGATTATTAGCAGGAAGCTTAGCAAATCTTTTGTACATTGTAAATTCTAGTGGGTCTGCGGCTTTGCATGCTCGTGTTATCACTAATTAAGCACTATCGTGACTTCCAGCGGGCCTTTATCGAGAGCAATGTCCACGCTCTCTCTTTATCTCTTTGACACTTGTTGTGTGGAGACGCAGCTGGCATGGCGTGGCGTGGTTTCGGGAAGATTTTGAGGTCCCAGCACACTGTTTATGTTACAGTGATCTAGGACAAGCCAATGGCCGATTGCGCTCAAAGCGATTAAGTCATCCGAAAACATATGTACTGCCAGTGAGTGATTATTGCCTATGGCATTACGTCTATCAAAAATGATCACTCCAGCAGCGAAAAAACCGCATTTTGTTACGATCACAGCCCAGCTTCGGGTATCTCGTGCCATTTGAAAACTACAGAACCAGCTCAGGCACGCTGTACCCCCTGTGGGTCCCTCGGAACTTATGGAGACCGTAATCGGCGTTGCGGCCTCCGTATAAATGCGGGCGGTACACGCACGGCGGCTTCTCAAAGTGTCTTACGCTACACCAGCCATGAACCCCCACAGCGCTGCTGAAGCGGGCAAAGCCCACTTGCCGTCGTCGCGAGGTCTTAGCTGGGCTCTGCTGACACTCTCCTTCCAGACTCTCGGTGCGTCTGTTCTCTGGTACACAAAGAGGCCGTCCTAACTGACTGTGCACTTAGGTATCATTTATTCTGATATCGGGACGTCGCCCTTGTACACGCTTAACGGCTTATGGCCTGCGGATGGCCCAGTTCCACCAACAGAAGACGTTATCGGCGGTATTAGTGCCATTATATGGGCGTTAACACTACTCCCTCTGTGCAAATACGTGCGTTGCATTCTTTGGCCCGCATAGAAACCTGTTGACGTCGATTCGTGCTTTGTCCAGGTCTTCATCTGCCTTCGCTTCGGTACCACGGAAGGCGAAGGAGGAACATTCGCCCTTTTTCAAGGTCTCTTTCCACCTGAGCTGGACTACACAGATGACGACTCGCTATTGAACTCGTCCGACGAGAAGGCGTCAGAGGTGTCTCCCAGCCCGTCCATGATTTGCGCTCGCCAGGTCACGACCCCGCCCAAACTGCGCTTGCCGTTGTTCGTATGGGTGAGTCAGGCTCCTACACAGCGGCGTTGTGTCACTTATGTGCCGCTTCAGTGTCTTTTTGGCACCGCCCTCACGCTTGCAGACGGTGTCTTCACTCCCGCCGTCTCGGTTACCAGCGCCGTCGCGGGTATCGGCGTCGCGAAACCATCCATTAACAGCGACGTTGCGCCTATATCTATCGTGCGTCGAACTGGCCGGTTCCCATGGCAAGTTTGCTGACCTCGTTCTAGGCGCTGTTAATCGTTCTCTTCCTGTTCCAATTTCGCGGCACCTCGCAAATCGGCTTCCTCTTTGCTCCAGGCATGTCGGGTCTACGTCCGCGCATGACCTGTCAACTAACGGTCCGACAGTCACCTTCATCTGGCTGATCCTACTTGCGGTTACGGGCATCATCAACACCGTCTCCTACCCGGGCATTTTCCGTGCCTTCGACCCGTCGCGAGCGATTCTTCGTAGGTGAACTGGGTATCTCTAATACGTCAGTTAACGGCCTCCTCCGCAGTGTTCGTGCGCACCAGAGATTACGACATCTTGGCTGGTGTTCTGCTGGCTTTGACCGGATGTGAGGCAATGTTTGCCAGGTGAGTTCTGACCTTCTAGCTTGGTCATTCCGGTGGTTCATGTGATCCGATCGTCGTTAGTCTCGGCCACTTCAACATGCTGTCGATCCAGCTCTCCTTCAGCCTCTTCGTCTATCCGTCTATCGTCCTCGCTTACCTTGGCCAAGGAGCCCGGCTCATCGTAGATGGCGAAGCCGTCTTATTCAACCTCTTTTATGCTACTATCCCTGGGTCGACGAACGGTCCTCTCTACTGGTGAGTGGAGCGTCTGCAAAATCTACTCTTGATTAACCTGTGTGTAGGATCATGTTCGTTCTCGGCATCCTGGCTACGGTGAGATCGCTTCATACTTGTACTACATTCCCCTGCTCAAGTGGTATTCGCAGTTTATCGCATCGCAAACCCTTATCACCGCGGCGTTCAGTCTTGTGCAACAGATGATTAAGAACCACGTCCTTCCACCGTACGAATGCCCTAGACAGCCTTTTTCGCGTCTGCTAACACGTTCTCTAGCCTTCGCGTAGTTCACACGTCGTCAAAGATCAAGGGCCAGATCTACATCCCTGCGATCAACTGGACTTGTGAGCCGTCTATTTCTCGCATTGCGAACTCGCTCTCTAAACCAGGAGCAGTGATGATCGTCACGGTCATTGTCGTTGGGACATTCAGAAATTCCACTAACCTGTCCAACGCTTACGGGTACGGCCGATAACGCTGACTCCAGGTTTCTTGCTAACGCCCTGTACAGCTTTTCAGTTGCCACCGTTATGTTCTCCACGACCATTCTCATCGCCATCCAGATGAGATTCGTCAAACACCTGCCCATCATCGTCGCTCTAGCTTTCTTCTTGGTATTCGGCTTCCTCGATGGTAATCCCAGTCTTCTCAGCCTCCTGAGACACTTACCCTGATCTGCCTATAGGGCTCTTCTGGGGTGCCGCACTCAAGAAAATTCCTGAAGGAGCGTACGTCCCACTAATTATCGGAAGTATATGGTAGGCCGTTGGTAGCATATACACGATGCTCGATCTGACCAGCATTCAGCATGTTGATTATGCTTTTCTGGAGCTGGGCGAGGGTCAGTCTTGCAGCGATCTACGAGATGACAGGTGCTGACGTGAAGGGTGTTTAGGGACTTGAGGACGCTTTCGATGGCAACCACCGCTCGGATTTGCAGCATGTCATCGTTCGTCAGCAGCTGCAGACGGCAACCAGCGAGTACGATGCGCCGGAGATTGGTTATGAGCATCGTCAGGAAGATCGCTTTAACGATGGGTCGTCGGAGTCCGAGAAGTACTACATTTGCGATCCGGAGGACCGCATCGTCAGCACTATACTACCCTCGAAGGAGTACAACGCCTTACTACAACTTGCTCGCCTCCCCACCTGTGCTGTGTTCCACCGAATGACATCTGGAAAGGGCGTGCCTCATTCCTTCGCTGGTACGTGGTGGGCACAGCCTGAAAAAATCTAGGCCTAACAATGCCAACAGCCTTCATTCGCCAATGGCCAGCTCTCCCAAGGGTGGTGGTACGTAGTCATAGTCACCTCTACCTGCTTTTCAAGCTCAAGTCCGCTTAGATATTCTTGTCGGTCCATGTCATGTCAGTAGCATACGTCGAGCCAGGAGAGCGTTACACGCTACGCAAGGTCCCTAGCGTTCGCGGTACGTCAACAGATTGAGAATCGAGTGACTATTTCCTCACTAGCTACATGGCATGTAGGTTTCTACACCGCCATCTACCGCCTCGGGTACCGGGAAACGTTCAGTGTCAAGGTCGACAACTTCATAGACACGATCTGCGCTCTCGAAGCCCGCGAGGACCCTGTCAACAGTGCCGCTACTATCGCTGAGGTCCAGGCTGCCGCCAAGAGGGTTACGCACATGTACGGTACCCACATTGGTCTAAGAACGTACTGCTGACGGCCACTTGTAGTGCCCCACACTACGTCGTGTCAAGCAGAAGTCTGGGGTCGAGCAGGTTCATGAGGGCGGTGTCATGGATACGCAAAGTTCTCATCGAGGATATCTATCGTCGCCTAGGTAAGTGCAACAATCATCCTTGTGGATTTCGGACTAAACAACTTCTCAGCCACGATGTTCCCTGACACCGACGGATGGCTCGGCTCCGCGGATGAGTACGTCGCTATCTGGTTTGACTAGACACTTAACTTACGATAATACTCCAGGATTATCCATGTGGGTGTTAACGCTACGCTATAGCTCTGCTACATCGGTTTTCTATCTCTGTCTTCTCCGTCTGTAACCTCACGCTCGCACGCTATATATCAGTATATATACATATGATCAGTACGCATATATTTAATAGTCCATCATGAGGAGAACCGCCTTTCTCGCTCTAGGAGAAG